TACCCAACACACTAGAAGACCAGTTCTTAAAGCCTTTAGCCGTATCCTTATTCTAGTCCTCCTCTGTTCCTCTGGTGATGTAGAGGCTAACCCGGGCCCTGCAGCCCTCAGTATCACTCCTACTCCCCAGGCGTTATCATTTGTTGACTTCTGTAATCGTAAAAGCCTTGGATTCTTGCACGTTAATATCCGAAGCCTCTTTCCTAAGTTTGAGTTATTCACTGCGTTAGCACACTCCGCCAACCCTGATGTTCTAGCAGTGTCTGAATCCTGGCTTAGGAAGGCCACCAAAAATTCTGAAATTTCCATCCCCAACTATAACATTTTCCGTCTAGATAGAACTGCCAAAGGGGGGTGGAGTTGCAATCTACTGTAGAGATAGAGCTCTGCAGGCTATCATACTATCCAGGTCTGTGCCCAAACAGTTTGAGCTTCTACTTCTAAAAATCCACCTTTCCAGAAATAAGTCTCTCACTGTTGCCGCTTGCTACAGACCCCCCTCAGCCCCCAGCTGTGCCCTGGACACCATATGTGAATTGATTGCCCCCCATTTATCCTCAGAGTTCGTACTGCTTGGTGACCTAAATTGGGATATGCTTAACACCCCGGCCATCCTACAATCCAAACTAGATGCCCTCAATCTCACACAAATTATCAACGAACCTACCAGGTACAACCCTAAATCCGTAAACATGGGTACCCTCATAGATATCATCCTGACTAACTTACCCTCTAAATACACCTCCGCTGTCTTCAACCAGGATCTCAGCGATCACTGCCTTATTGCCTGCGTCCGTAACGGGTCCGCGGTCAAACGACCACCCCTCATCACTGTCAAACGCTCCCTAAAACACTTTAGCGAGCAGGCCTTCCTAATTGACCTGGCCCAGGTATCCTGGATGGATATAGATCTCATTCCGTCAGTAGAGGATGCCTGGTTGTTCTTTAAAAGTAATTTCCTCTCAATCCTAAATAAACATGCCCCATTCAAAAAATACAGAACTAAGAACAGATATAGCCCCTGGTTCTCCTCAGACTTGACTGCCCTTGACCAGCACAAAAACATCCTGTGGCGTACTGCATTAGCATCAAATAGCCCCCGCGACATGCAACTTTTCAGGGAAGTTAGGAACCAATATACACAAGCAGTCAGGAAAGCAAAGGCTAACTTTTTCAAACAGAAATTTGCATCCTGTAGCACTAACTCCAAAAAGTTTTGGGATACTGTAAAGTCCATGGAGAATAAGAGCACTTCCTCCCAGCTGCCAACTGCACTGAGGCTAGGAAACACTATCACCACCGATAAATCTACAATAATCGAGAATTTCAACAAGCATTTTGCTACGGCTGGCCATGCTTTCCACCTGGCTACCACTACCCCGGCCACCAACTCTGCACCCTCCGCTGCAACTTGCCCATGCCCCCCCCCGTTTCTCCTTCACACAAATTCAGACAGCTGATGTTCTGAAAGAGCTGCAAAATCTGGACCCCTACAAATCAGCTGGGCTAGACAATCTGGACCCTTTCTTTCTAAAACTAGCCGCCGAAATTGTCGCAACCCCTATTACTAGCCTGTTCAACCTCTCTTTCATAACGTCTGAGATCCCCAGAGATTGGAAAGCTGCCGCGGTCATCCCCCTCTTCAAAGGGGGTGACACTCTAGATCCAAACTGTTACAGACCTATATCCATCCTGCCCTGCCTTTCGAAAGTATTTGAAAGCCAAGTTAACAAACAGATCACCGACCATTTCGAATCCCACCGTACCTTCTCCGCTATGCAATCCGGTTTCCGAGCTGGTCATGGGTGCACTTCAGCCACGCTCAAGGTCCTAAACGATATTATAACCGCGATCGATAATAGACAGTACTGTGCAGCCGTCTTCATCGACCTGGCCAAGGCTTTCGACTCTGTCAACCACCGCATTCTTATTGGCAGACTAAATAGCCTTGGTTTCTCAAATGACTGCCTCGCCTGGTTCATCAACTACTTCTCAGATAGAGTTCAATGTGTCAAATCGGAGGGCCTGTTGTCTGGACCTATGGCAGTCTCTATGGGGGTGCCACAGGGTTCAATTCTTGGGCCGACTCTTTTCTCCGTGTATATCAATGATGTCGCTCTTGCTGCTGGTGACTCTCAGATCCACCTCTACGCAGACGACACCATTTTGTATACATCTGGCCCTTCATTGGACACTGTGTTAACAAACCTCCAAACGAGCTTCAATGCCATACAACACTCCTTCAGTAGCCTCCAACTGCTCTTAAACACTAGTAAAACTAAATGCATGCTCTTCAATCGAACCCTGCTGGCACCCGCCCACCCGACTAGAATCACTACTCTCGACGGGTCTGACCTAGAGTATGTGGACAACTACAAATACCTAGGTGTCTGGTTAGACTGTAAACTCTCCTTCCAGACTCACATTAAGAATCTCCAATCCAAAGTTAAATCTAGAATCGGCTTCCTATTCCGCAACAAAGCCTCCTTCACTCATGCTGCCAAACATGCCCTCGTAAAACTGACTATCCTACCGATCCTTGACTTCGGCGATGTCATTTACAAAATAGCCTCCAACATTCTACTCAGCAAATTGGATGTAGTCTATCACAGTGCCATCCGTTTTGTCTCCAAAGCCCCATACACTACCCACCACTGTGACCTGTACGCTCTTGTTGGCTGGTCCTCACTACATGTTCGTCGTCAAACCCACTGGCTCCAGGCCATCTATAAATCACTGCTAGGCAAATCCCCGCCTTATCTTAGCTCATTGGTCACCATAGCAGCATCCACCCGTAGTCTGCGCTCCAGCAGGTATATCTCACTGGTCATCCCCAAAGCCAACACCTCCTTTGGCCGCCATTCCTTCCAGTTCTCTGCTGCCAATGACTGGAACGAATTGCAAAAATCTCTGAAGCTGGAGACTCTTATCTCCCTCACTAACTTTAAGCATCAGTTGTCAGAGCACCTTACCGATTACTGCACCTGTACACAACCCATCTGAAATTAGCCTACCCAACTACCTCATCCCTATATTGTTATTTATTTTGCTCTTTTGCACCCCAGTATCTCTATTTGCACATCATCTCTTGCACATCTAGCATTCCAGTGTTAATACTAATTGTAATTATTTTTGCACTATAGCCTATTTATTGCCTTACCTCCATAACTTGCTACATTTGCACACACTGTATATATATTTTCTGTTGTATTTTTTTAAACTTTTTTTACCTCATATGTAACTCTGTGTTGTTGTTTTTATCGCACTACTTTGCTTTATCTTGGCCAGGTCGCAGTTGTAAATGAGAACTTGTTCTCAACTGGCTTACCTGGTTAAATAAAGGTGAAATAAAATAAATAAATAAAAAGTTTTAAAACCAGTTAAATGTAACTAAATGCAATCGAAAATGTAATCTACGTAATCCCCAAAAGTAATGATTTATCATGAGAGGGCCATAAACAATAGCTAGTAATTCTGCATACTCCAAGAAAGGGTAAAATCTCACCTTTCTGGTAAAAATAATTATAAATTGCTGAGGTGTAGTCACTTTTGAGGACACAAGCTCAAGTACACAGTACAAATATTATAACATATTTTATGATGTATTTCCTATTTCAACAAAACCGTATGAATAAGGCTTGAAATTACTTATATGCTTTTTAAATATAGTATAATCAAATTATAAAATGCCTAACTATAAGATTTCACCTTCCTTATAACTGTTAATTACATATTTGTATGTTTAGTGTTAGAGAAAATGTGCATATTTTCTTATGGTCTCTCTTAATCAAAACGTCTGCCCACATTGCTGTGAAGGTCTCACAGAACTCTAGCTTGGCTTCCTGGACTCGTTAGGAACTCGCCTTCAATCTCATATTAATATTGTCCATCTATAACCAACATAAAGTCTTTGTTTTTTTTAAAATCTATGAATTGTTTTAGATTACTGGCTATAAATCAATCTCTGAATGTGCTACAGTGACGAAACTACTCTCTCCTGCTGTGCTATGATGTAAGGATTCCAGGCATATGCGTTGTTAGTGGCTGTGATGTAGGGTTCAGCCAAGAGGTGATGGACAGTTGGAAGAGCGAATTAAATGATAGGAGGGACATCCCAGCTTCAAGTGGTGTCAGATTTCACATCCTGCTTCACATAGGCAAAATAGACATTTCAAACAATAAGAAGTTGCGTCAACTTCAATTGTCTGGGGCCATCAGGAAACTTAAAGAAAACATTACTTTCAAAGCCTGCCCGTCCAGAAATTAGAGAAATGTGTGGTACTTCAAACGTGTGGTTTCTCATAATGAGTGTTAAAAAGTGAGAGATTGGACCTGATCCATCTGATTGCAGCTGTAAGCATAGATACAACAAGCAGAATGTTCAAAATCCTTTCCTCAGACTAGTTGGAGCAGTGAAGGATAGGCCAAATGACTACAATCTGCAGGGATCACAACTAACTTACTTGAGGGAAAGAACACAGCTAATACATTACCCAGCTGCTGTTATTTCATAGATCTGACTGTGAAGTTTCAAAACATATCTGCAGCAAAAATATATATAATTGTGCATACTATTAGCATGGCGAAATGCAGTGTCAGCATTGTGCATGTAGAGGCAGAGTGTGATAGAATATGTCTGAGGGAAATGAAAAACACATGCACATCTAAATCCTCTTTTTTTTTATTATTGTTGGCATCTTCAAAACAGTGTGCAAATACATAACATAATATAGATCATTTTTCAATTATTGACTTGGCTAACAATGCATTTAGTGGACAAATGGAAATTGATTGTGAAAATAACTTAAATTCTATGACAAGTATAAAGTCTAATCTATAACATTGTGCAACATTCTTCTCCAGCTCCTGAAATCAAAACCAAACTTGGCTGGAGAGTAAAAGCGACCTCTTTCCCCTCGTGACGCTCTTCCTTCCTCTCCTCTCCCACCCAGAGTAACCCCATTTTACGAACAACAGATTCAGAACACTCAGATTGGAGTGGAGAATGTGAAACGGTCTGGGACACTAACAGGGACAGAGTTATCACCGCCAGGATTATTTTACTGTTAAAAACTATTACTGGAATTTATGGAAATGCGCAAAGACGCGTGCGGTTCTTTGGCACACTGGGGACCATCGCTTGGAATGTAGAAGTGTCTACTTTTAATAGAATAATTGGATTAGACACAACTGATTTCGGAATTGTCGCTGTGAGGATTACAATTATGATAGACATCTTATTTTGTTTGTGCCTCATCCATGTGTCAGGTAAAAGTCAAACTATCTTATTTTTATCCTAGAAATAATAGGACAATTAATTATTGTATTCTAAAAATAAAGTACATGGCTCAAGGTGCTTGTCCTTATTATATTAATAATGTCCACAGAGAGTGTAACCTACAGTAACCTCAGAAAGTATAACTTCTGCAAGGCAACACTAATTAATATTTATGAACATCAGAATGAATTTGACACAACAAGTTATGGGCTACTATAAAAGTCAAAGTGGAATGCAGAAGGCAGAAGCCCCTTGAGAGAGCAGGAGCTCATACCAGTTTCCTGCCATTGTTCTGTAAATCAGGGCTAGAATGCCACAGAACAGGAATGTTGTTGGATTTATGTAGCAAAATGACCCACCATATGCAGCATGACTGGTTATTTAGCTCACAGTGATTTAAGTTGGGGGAACTGATCCTAGGTCAGAATGTAACTGGAATGTGTCAAAAGGTTGTGTTATGCCTGGCCTAAGGCTCTCAAATTAAAATATGGACCTCAAGCCATTTCCACTGCATTGTTTCATTATTCCCTTCAAATCAGGGACTGATTTAGACCTGGGAGACCATCTGGGTGCAATTAATTATTAGGTAGAACAGAAAACCAGCAGTATTCTAGACCTCGTAGTCGTAGGGTAAGATTTAAATACGCATGCCCTACGGTCTAGTAATGTTTGTTTGGATTAGAATAGATAAACTGATTTTACATCTGTTTGTAATAAGCAATAGCTTATTACAGTAGCTGCCCTTTGTTGTTTTACCTCATAATAGTTTAAATGACTGTTTCATGTGAGTGACGCCATCTCGTCCCTATAGGTGCGGTGACAGACCTGACCATAATCTCCAACGCCGAGGCCTCCACCCCTCAGCTCTTCTCCATCTCCTGCCTCACCGGGGAGCGGGACGCAGCAGAGCTGGACCTGGACATCAAGAAGGACAACAGCATCCTCATCCTCTCCTCACGGCCACATTACAGAGTCAAAAGGCCCAAGACCAAGGAGGTGGTGGCGAACGAGTTTGTGGGTGTGATGGACCAAACAGGCATATTTTACTGCCATGCATCCCAGGGAACCGATCCTCCTAGAAACCTGGGTACAGTGACACTCATCAACAACTTTGCCAAAGGTAAAGAAGAGAGAGCATGTGTGTCTATGTGTGTGTGTGTGAGAGAGAGAGAGAGAGAGAGAGAGAGAGAGAGAGAGAGAGAGAGAGAGAGAGAGAGAGAGAGAGAGAGAGATTTGCGAGAGAGAGAGAGAGAGAGAGAGAGAGAGAGAGAGAGAGAGAGAGACAGAGAGAGAGAGAGCGAGAGAGAGAGTTAACTTGTTTTCTTCTGTATTGTTCCTATCAGCCCTATTTGTCCCGACCCACCTCACAGTGACAGCTAACAGAGGAGACACAGTTCACCTGGCCATGCAGGTCCTGAGCTCCCAGAGAAGAGACGTCACCTGGAAATACAACGGTGAGTCACAAAGGGATGGAGGGAGGCATGGGTGGCTGGATGAATGGATGGATGGATGGATGAAGGGCAGGCATTTATGTGTGAGCAGGGAACAGATTCATCTAAATGAGACAATTTGATGGCAATATAGGCAATTATTTGATCATTTCCTTTGTATAAAGTAACAAGTATAAAGTAGCCCCACCATGTGGATGATAATGTATTCACATTAATAAGAGCTTCTCCATTGTGCTGACTCACTGTGTTGTAACACCAGGTAACTATTTCTACATGACCCACTGGGGTGATGTGTCCAACAGTACGGCTGTACTAACCCTGGAGGATGTGGCTAGTGCCAATGAGGGCATCTACAGTGCCAGCTTCGTGGGAGACAGTCCCGTCTATGGAGCCTGGATGAGGCTGATTGTCAGAGGTACAGTGTTCTCATTACCCACACTCCCCACAAGACATACACACTTGATATGTGTGGATGGTGTTGATACACTTTACTGATTGAATACTGTCTGTGCTGTTATTTATCTATTTTATATAAGCTTGACCAATACATTTTGTAATTTTTTCTTTGAAACATTTTAGATGGGTTGTATCTTTGAATGTACATTGTTAGTACTCAGTTAATAGTGTTATTAACATCTGTATTACTACTAACCATTACAAGAGTATGTATGATGATTCACATATGGATGAGGTGCTTGTATTTGGGTGTGTTGGCCACTGACGCTCCTCTACTGTCCATCCCAGACTGTGGTAGTAAGAAGTGGGGTGCCGACTGTGACAAGGACTGTCCAGAGTGTCTCAATGGAGGTGTGTGTCACCACCGGGATGGGGACTGCATCTGCCCACCGGGGTTCATGGGGATGCGCTGCGAGACAGGTGAGTGTGTGTGTTTGTGTAAGGTGGGGGGGGGGGGCATAAGATTATAGTCGTTGAAGCTGACACATACTACAAATTAGCAATATTGTGTGTGTGTGTGCGTATAAGTGCGTGTTTGTAAAAGACAAGTATATTCTATTGCCAAACTGTCTGAAGTAACTGTACCTGTCCTGTACTGTATCTATGCGTACTTTATTCCCTCCCAGCCTGTAGAGAGGGAATGTTTGGGCTTAATTGCCAGGAGTCATGCAGGTCAGAGATGGACTGTAGAGGGCTGAGGTTCTGCCTGGCTGACCCTTATGGATGTTCCTGTGCCAGTGGCTGGTCTGGGAACCACTGCAACAGATGTGAGTTCATTTGTTATATGTATGGTTATGGCATATTTTCGGCCTTAGATTGCCCAATTAATATTGATTGTAATTGTACAACCAACCTATCAACATGATTGCATGTGTTGAAATGAAGCCATATCAGGTAGCATTTCAATCACGACACACTTATCAGAATCTCAACACCTTGGTTTTCCCATCCTAATGTTTCCTCTCCCCCTCTCCCCCAGCCTGCCACAGGGACATGTACGGGGCAGACTGCAGGCTGAGCTGTAAGTGTAAGAACGGGGGAGTGTGTAACCGCTTCAGTGGATGTCAGTGTCCCACTGGCTGGAGAGGACAGAACTGTGAGAAATCAGGTAGGTAAACATTACTTCCTCTTCCTCCTCCTCCTCTTCCTCCTCCACTTTTCCATCACCACTGACACTACCAACATCAATATGAATAACATCATCACAAGTAGCAGTAACATCTTTATCATCATCATCATCATCATAATTGTCACCTTTATTATAATCTTCTTCATCATCTGTTTCTCCCCCATCAGACCGCGCCCCCCAGATCTTGAACATGGCCAGTAGTTTAGAGTGGAACCTTAACTCCAGCCCCAAGATCCTGTGTTCCGCCACAGGCAACCCCCTGCCCAGCCACACCAGCATCGAGCTGCGCAAACTGGACAGCACTGTGCTCAAGGTAGAGGCAATGGAAGGATTGATTATTCCATTACTGGGAAACAAATTGTGATTGTGTAGTCAGTGAGATTTGTGAAATTCAATGTTTTTGTAATAGTGAAAATATGTAAATATTTGTAATGATAATATCAGTTGGATCAACATTACTTCAGACTGTAAGCAGCCTTACCAAAATCTTTTTGGACCTCTAATTCAGGCGTCTCGCACCACCATGGACTCCAATAAGAGCACAGCCCAGTTTGAGATTCCCCGTCTGTCCACTGAGCATGCTGGGTTATGGGAGTGCAGGGTTTCCACCAATGGGGGACAAGACTCAAGGAAGTTCAACCTCATTGTCAAAGGTGAGAAGAGAAAAGTATTTTACTGGTCTATTTCAGTCAATGTGAGGTGCTTAACATTGAGGGCAGGTTTCCCAGATAAAGATGAAGCCTAGTCCTGGACTTGAACCTGCTTTTTAGTCCAGGACTAGGATTGATTTGTGTCTGGGACACCAGCCCTAAATATACACTGAGAAATGGTCTAGCGAAAAGGATTTAATGTTCTGGTTGAGACTCATCATACAGTGAGGGAAAACATTATTTTATCCCCTGCTGATTTTGTACGTTTGCCCACTGACAAAGAAATGATCAGTCTATAATTTCAATGGTAGGTTTATTTGAACAGTGAGAGACAGAATAACAACAAAAAAATCCAGAAAAACCCATGTCAAAAATGTTATAAATTGATTTGCATTTTAATGAGGGAAATAAGTATTTGACCCCTCTGCAAAACATGACTTAGTACTTGGTGGCAAAACCCTTGTTGGCAATCACAGAGGTCAGACGTTTCTTGTAGTTGGCCACCAGGTTTGCACACATCTCAGGAGGGATTTTGTCCCACTCCTCTTTGCAGATCTTCTCCGAGTCATTAAGGTTTCGAGGCTGACGTTTGGCAACTCAAACCTTCAGCTCCCTCCACAGATTTTCTATGGGATTAAGGTCTGGAGACTGGCTAGGCCACTCCAGGACCTTAATGTGCTTCTTCTTGAGCCACTCCTTTGTTGCCTTGGCTGTGTGTTTTGGGTCATTGTCATGCTGGAATACCCATTTTCAATGCCCTGGCTGAGGGAAGGAGGTTCTCACCCAAGATTTGACGGTACATGGCCCCGTCCATCATCCCTTTGATGCGGTGAAGTTGTCCTGTCCCCTTAGCAGAAAAACACCCCCAAAGCATAATGTTTCCACCTCCATGTTTGACGGTGGGGTTGGTGTTCTTGGGGTCATAGGCAGCATTCCTCCTCCTCCAAACACGGCGAGTTGAGTTGATGCCAAATAGCTCCATTTTGGTCTCATCTGACCACAACACTTTCACCCAGTTCTCCTCTGAATCATTCAGATGTTCATTGGCAAACTTCAGACGGGCATGTATATGTGCTTTCTTGAGCAGGGGGACCTTGCGGGCGCTGCAGGATTTCAGTCCTTCACGGTGTAGTGTATTACCAATTGTTTTCTTGGTGACTATGGTCCCAGCTTGACAAGATCCTCCCGTGTAGTTCTGGGTTGATTCCTCACCGTTCTCATGATCATTACAACTCCACGAGGTGAGATTTTGCATGGAGCCCCAGGCCGAGGGAGATTGACAGTTATTTTGTGTTTCTTCCATTTGCGAATAATCACACCAACTGTTGTCACCTTCTCACCAAGCTGCTTGGCGATGGTCTCGTAGCCCATTCCAGCCTTATGTAGGTCTACAATCTTGTCCCTGACATCCTTGGAGAGCTCTTTGGTCTTGGCCATGGTGGAGAGTTTGGAATCTGATTGATTGATTGCTTCTGTGGACAGGTGTCTTTTATACAGGTAACAAGCTGAGATTAGGAGCACTCCCTTTAAGAGTATGCTTCTAATCTCAGCTCGTTACCTGTATAAAAGACACCTGGGAGCCAGAAATCTTTCTGATTGAGAGGGGGTCATATACTTATTTCCCTCATTAAAATGCAAATCAATTTATAACATTTTTGACATGCGTTTTTCTGGATTTTTTTGTTGTTATTCTGTCTCTCACTGTTCAAATAAACCTACCATTAAAATTATAGACTGATCATTTCTTTGTCAGTGGGCAAACGTACAAAATCAGCAGGGGATCAAATACTTTTTTCCCTCACTGTATCAACCATTACTCAAATTCTCACCCACTCTTCTCCCCTCTATCGCCAGAGCCGCCATGCCCCAGCACCCCTCCCAAGCTGCTGGAGAAGAGGAGTAAGCAGCTGGTGGTGATGCCTGTGGACTCCTACAGAGGAGACGGACCCATCGACTCCACCAAGCTCCTCTACAAGCCCATGGAGACAGGAGACTCCTGGTCCTCCATCATAGGTGCGTACGTCAGATGGAGTTTGATCTCATGTAAAGTCAAGGGAGTTACAACTACTATCCTGGCAACATAATATCATCAATTTCACAGGAAAAATTGCCTTGCCTAAAAACAATGCAAGACAATTTGCCAATTTGTCATTATCAATATTAGTATGTATCATACTTCACTTTAGATCCCTGAAGTGTATGGCTAATCCTCTCTGATTCTCTATCTCTCTGTGTTCCTTTCTCTCAGTGTACAGTAGAGAGCCTATAACTCTGATGAATCTGAAGCCATCTACACGCTACCACGTCCGTGTCCAGTTGACCCGTCCTGGGGAGGGAGGGGAGGGAACTCTGGGACCTGAGGCCATCATGGAGACTGACTGTCCAGGTGAGCAGCAACAGTACGCCGGGTTTAGTTTTTGCATTGTCGAAATGCAATAAAGTCAGAGCAGAGGTTTGTAGGAAATTGGTGATGTTGCAGGTGGGGAGTGTGTGTGTGTGTGTGTGTGTGTGTGTGTGTGAGTTTCTAAGTTGGAGTTAGTAGAGGTTTGTCCTAGTGGACAGCTGAGTGCAGGTTCTGAATCTGTGAGAGAATGGTTCTTTAATTCTGTCTAGTGACCTAATCAGAATGTTCTTTGCCCATCTGTAAACACAATGCTGTGTCTAAGTAAACAGTAGAATGAGTAAGTATCCCAGGCTGGAGGACCTCTCCATGACTGCGTGTTCTGTGTTGCTGCTGTAGAACCCACGCTTCGACCAGCGATTGACTTCAGCTCGCTGGAGGGCCGCAACGCCACTGTGCGCTGGCTGTTGCCTGGCAATGCGGCCAGGGCTGTGGGTGTGGCCAGCGGGTTCTTAGTGCAGCTCTTCGGGCCCTCCCCCTCAGAAGAGAAGCTGAGAGAGGAGACCACCCTGCTCAATGTGCTCTCCACCAAGTTCTACAACCTGCAGTACCACCAAGACTACAAAGTGGTCGTCAGGCTGCTCAACTGTGGCAGCCTGGGGCCCGCCTCTAAGCCATACAACTTCCGCATAAACAGCCAGGGTAACTAACAAGAGCTCCTCCTATTGGCTTAGCAGTGAGTGTTGACGACTGTGATTGGCGGATGGATGGTGGATGGTTGGTGGCTCCCCCCTGCCCTCGTATTGTGTCAGGGTTAAAGATGTGTGCATAAAGGAAAGGACATTTAGGAATGGATGACTTACTAAGGAAATCCAGAAAGAAATTCAAGCACTTTAAAAGTACGGTTTGGCAATAGCCATGTAGCATAAGCTAACACCTTCTGACCAATAATAACCCCGCTGAGGTCTCCTCTCTGTCCCTCTCCTCCCCTCTCTCCCCCAGGTCCCTCATCTCCTCGGAACGTCCAGGCCCTTCCCCTGTCTGTGTCTGCGGTGCAGGTGAAGTGGCAGCCCCCTCAGGACCCTAACGGGGGCATAGTGAAGTACATCATAGAGTACCAGCCGGTGGGTCAGGGCAGCCTGCACCCCTGGGTCGACACAGACGATGGCAACAAGACGGCTAAAGACGTGACAGCGCTCAACGGCAGTACTCTCTACCAGTTCAGAGTGAGGGCCTTCTCTAAAGTACCCGGGGAGTGGAGCAAGTTTGTCCATGCCAGGACCCAGGGAGATGGTGAGAGATGGTTTTAAAAACCATGTATGGAGTAAAAAGTGTTAAAAACGCTAATTCTCTCTGATGGCTTCAAAGTACATGGATTTAAATTTGTCCACTTGAAAATCTACGTTTTTTTAGGCCTTTTCAGAACTCAAAAGTGGTCAAATGTCAAGGTTTGTTTGAGTCCCACACCATCTGTTGTTTAGATCAAGCAATGCTGTAATCCCAAATGAATAACAAAGAAGGGTACCAGCATCTTATTTCATCACTTTAGATGCCTATCTTTTCCACTCATTTGGGATTGAGGTGTAAAACTGGATCTAAACAACAGATAGTGTGGGACATGGACTCATTTTGACATTTGACCACTTTTGACGTCTGAAAATGTCCCAAAAACTTTGAGTGAACTTCTTGAGTGAACATAGATTTTTTTGTGAACTATCACTTTAAAACGTGAAGATACTTACATAATAAATAGGATATAGTCAATGTTCATCTGCATAAGAGTGTGCATCTCCTCATATTACCTCTCCCTCTAGGTCTCCAGGACTTCACTCCTACCACCCAGGGTGTGGGGGGGCGTCCGGGCAGTGAGGGCTACCAGCTGTTGGTGGCTGTGGTGGGGTCTGTGACGGTCACCTGTGTCACCATCCTGTTGGCCCTGCTGGCTCTCTTCTGCATCCGCAAGACCCTGCTCAACCGCAGACGCACCTTCACCTACCAGTCTGGATCGGTGGGTGTGTGTGTGTGTGTGTGTGTGTGAGTGTGTGAGTGAGTGTGTGAGTGTGTGAGTGAGTGAGAGAGAGGACTCACACACAAACATGCCATAAAAACACACCTAAACTATATAGTCCTTCACTAAGAAGTTGGATAAGCTGACTAGATAAACGTTCCACACTGTCTCAAACTTCACATATAGACATGTTGTTATGAGAAACACACCTCAAATCTGATCATTTCTATGCTTTGACTCAATGCTTTGATAAAAAATGCAACAAAGCCGTCATTGCAACCCGTAGGGAGAGGAGACCATCCTCCAGTTTAACTCTGGGACCCTGACCCTGACAAGGAGGCCAAAGCCTGCCTTTGAGCCCCTCACCTACCCCATCCTGGAGTGGGATGACATCAAGTTTGAAGATGTGATCGGAGAGGGCAACTTCGGCCAGGTCATCAAGGCCATGATCAAGAAGGACGGGGCCAAGATGAGCGCCGCTATCAAGATGCTGAAAGGTAGTAGGTACCTCACAAACATGTACCAACGCACGCAGGCAAGCACTCACACACACACACCAGTGGCGGTCAGTGAAATTTAAGATGAGGGAGGATGATTTTGTTTTCATGAGCATGGCCTTATTTCTATTACAGCATATTGGATGTCTGTCATTCATATTCCATTCACCCAGCTCAATGTAACATCGATAGATTTAGGCTACTACGTGATACTCAAATTTTCCCTATACCCATCATGAGGTTGCTACAACAGGTCGAGAGATAAATGTGAGTAATCGAGGTGACAGACAGTGACACATTCAATACCGCCTTGCACACTCTTGCCTGAATCTAGCTGATCTAGGGTGTAATCATTAGTCCAACATTTGCAAATGAGAGTTTCTATTGGACAAGTTCAGGTATGTTTATCCCCGTTTCGTTCCATTTGCTTCCGTTTAAGAAACATTTTTCAACAGAATCGGCGGAATGAATTCACCCCTGATCACACACAAACACAGTTCACTTTCATAGCAGCCACATACAAACAGCATGAACATTTTGCTCGTTGTATAATTCCTTCTCTCATCTACGTGCTCTCCTCTAACTTTTTACCTTCGCTTGTGGACTTCAGTGCACAACACATCAGCTGTCTGTGACCAGGCGGAAAAACCTTTCCAAGCCAAACCTAATAACTGCTAATCGCTAAACACAGCCTACATCGTTGTCACCATATTAACTAATGATGTTAGCAACGTCATAGTCAACATAGCTAATATAACTAACGTGTTAGTAAACCTGCTACAATCATGCAGTACAGTGTAGAGTCAGCAAGCAGTGTAGCAGTTACACCGGCGGGCCCCGGTTGCAATAAATTAATAAAACCAAAAGCTTACCTTGACTTGGAAGAGTTCCAGTGTTGGATAGCTATAGCCAGCTAGCTAACATAGCATCCCTCTCTGTTTGAGCTGGGTGTTTGAGTAGGCTAAACTATCTAGCTAATTGAAAGTTTAAAAAAATACAACTAAATATCTCTCTCTCTTCTCTCTCACTTCTTCATTTTTAAAGAAATTAATTTGTTCAAAACTGTTCAACTATTGTAGTTCTCTCTCTTTGAGTCAATTACTGACCACATTTTATGCACTGCAGTGCGGGTGAGAACCATGAGCCTCCTAGGTATTGTATTGAAGTCAATGTACCCAGAGGAGGACAGAAGCTAGCTGTCCTCCGGCTACACCATGGTGCTACCCTACATAGTGCTGTTGAGGCTACTGTAGACCTTCATTGCAAAATAGTGTGTTTTAATCAATTATTTTGATTATTATGTGAATATATGTGAATATATTTAGTATAGTTTTATCTAAAAAGGATACTTTTTTAAATGTTTCACTATGTTTATATTCCTCCCCTTCCTCCTCTGAGGAGCCTCCGCTGACACACACATACACTACCACACAAGCATGTGCACGCATACATACACGCACGCACGCACACACACACACACACACACACACAATCACATCACTAACACATACTCACACACATAACAGTCAAACAAAACACACATTCTAACACATTCCTACACACACATCTCTAAAGTCAGTGATATAATGTAACAAAGCTTATTTCTCTGTACCTGTTTGTAACTTGCTGTGTGTGCTGTTTGCTTTTGAGCAGAGTTTGCCTCGGAGAATGACCACCGGGACTTTGCAGGAGAGCTGGAAGTGTTGTGTAAACTGGGCCAACATCCCAACATCATCAACCTCATAGGAGCCTGTGAAAACAGGGGTGAGTCCACCACCTACTGACCATGCTGGGCAATGCTCTTAATTAATACTATACTAATGAATGGACAGTGTTATCTCAAGGGAGGACTTTAAAGTACTGTATCTCTTTAGGAAATATGAGTTTTGACGCAAGTTGATAGAAATAAGTCTGTATTCTTATATGATAGCTATAGTATGTTGATAGTGATTTCAATATTTCAAGATGAAACTTAGTTACACTTAATTATGTAAACTTATAGGCTTACCTTATATCAGTTGCTGATTCAATAATGCTTAGCTGAGCCCAACATGCAGAGCATGAAGTGGTTAATATTCTGAGTTATCCGGATGCATACAGATCCTCTCGTGCACCTGGACAGGACTGTGTCTGCTAGAAGCATTTGCACTATCACATTTATTTTGCTTGTCATATCCGCCGCATCAGTAAACTACCTTACTGCATATCTATCTGTGTAATATAGAGCCTTTGGACCAAGCTCTGAGCATGACATTTCAATTTCCAAACCACTTCTGATAGTTTTGGGAAATAATTGAAGTGCCTGTTTCTCTTTGTATAAAGATCTAGGATTGATAACATACTGTTGGGAGGAAGTTTAGAGTGGAAAGTACATTAGTGGAGATTACAAAAAAAAAGACATCCTACTAAACCACCGTGTTTCACAATCCTAATGCTTCTCAAGTAGCCCTGACTTAGCATTGGTGGTTCTCGCTCTCTCTCTCGATAAAATGATGATGATTACAGCACAGGACTAGAATTCTATTTTTATGTATTACAGTATTATACTCAGTTAATGGCTTCCTACCTTGAACATGATATTCCTATGGAGGCACAGATGGAGCTGTTAGCAGGCAGAGGTGTGTCTGTGATGGCCAATACAGCACGGCTTGGAACGCTGTTCGTCCAATCAGCATCCAGGATCCAAACAACCATTTTTATAATGATGATTACAGCACAGGACTAGAATTATATTTCTATGGATTACAGTATTATACTCCGTTAATGCCTTCCTACCTTTCCATGGCAAACTTTTACGCAAATGATATCTCGATAAACAACCTTCTCCATACAGTGTAACAGTAAATCATCAACTTTCTTTACTTTCCCCTAACTGCCTCTCTCTTCCTGTGTAGGGTACCTGTACATTGCCATTGAGTACGCCCCATTTGGAAACCTACTTGACTTCCTGCGTAAGAGCCGAGTCCTAGAGACAGACCCTGCCTTCGCCAAGGAGCACGGCACAGCCTCCACCCTCACCTCACAACAACTGCTACAGTTCGCCGTCGACGTGGCTACCGGCATGCACTACCTTAGCGACAAACAGGTAAATATAAACACAGGCATAGCCACAGGAAGTAGGGGTGCTGAAGCACCCCCTGAAAAATCTGAATACTTTTTATTTTATTTCTAATATATATTTTTTCACAAAATTAGTGCACTTGGCCTTTTCTAGTCCTGTATTAGTGGACTAGTAAAAACAAGTATACTACCAAACTACTTCCCGCGGCTATGCACACAGGTGTCCCTGTGAACTTTAAGTTGAGTCCTTGAGTTGGGAGGGGGGTTGCCTATTCTGTTGTTTATATAAGTTTATATACATTTGGTAGTATCCTTTTTTTTTTTTTTTCTCCTACAGCAATGCTATTCAATACACAAATGATGATTGATAAATATGACAGGGAATGTACAGGAACCTACATCAATGTAGATTTCCTCTCAACATAAATTAATATGATATCATTCCCAGATGTGAGCTTCATGTTGTTTTTAACCTTCTCCTCTTTCTCTCTTCTCCTCTTTCTCTCTTCCCCTCTCGCTCTCTTCCCCTCTCTCCCTCTCTAGTTCATCCACAGAGACCTGGCAGCGAGGAATGTTTTAGTGGGAGACAACCTGGTGGCCAAGATAGCAGACTTCGGTCTGTCCCGAGGGGAGGAGGTCTACGTCAAAAAGACCATGGTGGGAGCTCAGTCACATACAGCACAGTGCATTAAGGAACAATAGCTAGGATTCTAGTCTGTATCATCATTGGTCAGCCAACAACAAATAGAACATTCTGAAGAGAATATTCCACACAATAGCACTACATACACTCCCCTCTGTATGGATTTGGACACAGAAGCTACATTTTATATTTGGCGCTATACTCCAGCATTTTGGATTTGAGATGACATGTTTCATATGAGCCGACAGTACAGAATACCAGTTTGTTTTGGTTGTGTTTTGGGTTATGTTTTGCCTAAAAAGAACTGGTGAATGATGACTGGAGTAAGTGAGTAGATAGAGATAGATAGAACACTTCTAAATTAATCCTGATAATGCCATGATTAAGAAACATCATTAATGAATCATGAATAATGATGAGTGAGAAGATTACAGAGGCTACAACAAAACATTGATTATTGATTTATTGGGGGGGGGGGGGGGGGGTATGATCCTTGTGCCTCTGTAACTTTCTCACTCATCATTATTCACAATTCAGCCATGATTATCCATGGTAGCATCCACATGAATGTAGACATTTTCAGAAACATCTTCTATTCTTACTTACAATAAAATTGTCTCCAAAATGACAATACATTATTTACCATTCAGTTCCTATTTGATTAAATATAATCCGAAAGACAACCAGAACAAACTGCAAATGTAACCAATGAGTTTGTAGAGTCACAAGCTTGATGTAGTCATTGAGTGCAAATAATATGTGACCAAATACTAAACCTTTTGATAAAATTTGCTGGAGTATAGAGCCAAATGATTTTTTTTTGCTTTACTGTCCAAATACTGTACATATGGACGGGAGAGTATGTCAGAAACGGGAAATAAGACTGACGTAAAAGTATCAACTGAAGAGGGCAGTAGTGTGTTTGACATGGCAACAAGTTACCTTACAAGACCAAGGTTCCCTTACAACTAGCAATGAGAAGAGAGAAGCACAGGACTTGACCCTTATAATTATGTACAAGACATACTCCATACTGTTGGTTAAAACCAAATTCTACAAAGTTTTCTAATGGGATATCTTGACTTTTTCTCTTTGTGTTGCAGGGGAGGTTGCCAGTGCGTTGGATGGCGATAGAGTCCCTAAACTACAGTGTGTACACCACCAAGAGTGACGTGTGAGTATCTGACTTATATTCAACTATACTGAAATGAAAATGTAAATGCAACATGTCAAGTGTTGGTCCCATGTTTCATGAGCTGATATAAAAAATCCCAGAAATGTTCCATACGCACAAAAAGCTTATTTCTCTCAAATGATGTGCACAAATGTGTTTACATCTCTGTTAGTCAGCTTTTCTCCTTTGTCAAGATAATCCATCCACCTGACAAGTGTGGCATATCAAGAAGCTGATTAAACATCATGATCAATACACAGGTGCATCTTGTTCTGGGGACAATAAAAGGCCACTCTAAAATGTGCAGTTTTGTCACAGAACACAATGCCACAGATGTGCAAGTTTTGAGGGAGCGTGCAATTGGCATGCTGACTGCAGGAATGTCCACCAGAGCTGTTGCCAGATAATTTAATGTTAATTTCTCTACCATACGCCGCCTACAACCTCATTTTAGAGAATTTGGCAGTACATCCAACCGACCTCACAACCGCAAACCACGTGTAACCACGCCAGCCCAGGACCTCCACATCTGGCTTCTTCACCTTGAATGCACACAGATACCGTGATGAGATCCTGAGGCCCATTGTCGTGCCATTCATCCGCCGCCATCACTTCATGCTTCAGCATGATAATGCACGGCCCGTGTCACAAGGATCTATACACATCTCCTGGAAGCTGAAAATGTCCCATATCTTCTATGGCCTGCATACTCACCAGACATGTCACCCATTGAGCATGTTTGTGATGCTCTGGATCGCTGTGTATGGCAGCGTGTTCCAATTCCCGCCAATATCCAGAAACTTTGCACAGCCACTGAAGAGGAGTGGGACAACATTCCACAGGCCACAATCAACAGCCTGATCAACTCTATGTGAGGTGGTCACACCAGATACTGAATGGTTTTCTGAACCACACCCCTACCTTTTTTAAGGTATCTGTGACCAACACATGCATATCTGTATACCCAGTCATGTGAAATCCATAGATGTATTTATTTGAATTGACTGATTTCCTTATATGAACTGTATAGAACAAATCTTGACTTTATCTTTAGATACTTATATCATGTCTTACACAGCTTCCAGTAAGGGCTAGAAGATAATACGATGCCAGCAGTCACATAACTTTGCTGTCTCTCTCTACCCGGCTGTCCAAAACAACAAATCATGTTCCCCTCCTTCCTCCTCCCCCCCGTCAATGGTGAACTGCTAACTTAGTGCAGAGGAACTGATAACAGAACCCAGGAAGCCTAGAGGCAGGGCCGGCCCACTCATTAGGCAGGATAAGGCAGCCGCCTATGGCGGTAGATTGACGAGGGCGGCATTTTCTGAGCTAAACTGACCAAGACGAACCTCCAACAACAACACATAAAACCTCACATCATTCTGCCAAACAACAATGACAATTTCTCTCATATGGGCTTTTTAGGTGAGTGCTGATGCAGCCCTGTGATAAGCAGTGCCCACTTTGTCATAGGCAGGGGCGCAAAATATTTTGCTTGTCAATTCCCAGCGCTCCTGTCCAGGGTGCTGTTGGAGAGACACATCGCTGCTGCGCTCCACCGACGTTCTGTCAAAAAAAAAAAATCGAACATAAATCACGTAGCAGATATAAGATATGGTAGAAAGAGGATGTGGCCTTTTCTGTAGCCTACAGGCTGGAGATCAAATGTATGACAATGTAATGAGACGGCACTTTTTATATCATGCAGGTTTCCCTGATCAAATAGCCGAACCTAAATGGCGCCCAATCAAATAAAAAATGTGCTGTCATGTTAACAAACAACATATCCTAAAAACAGGACTTGTCAAAGTAAAAATGGACAATATGGAATGGACAATCAACTGTTGTCTAGGAGTTTCACCCCATTGTCATGATTAGTGGTTTCAAGTTTGTATCCGTACATTTTTGACAAGCTGATCATAGTAAAAAAGAAAATAGGCCTACTTCTGCATTTCCCGCTGTGTAAACACATTGCAAATATGCTCATGATAACTCCTGATAAAGTTGGGTAGCTGATATTCAGCGCTTAAAAACCAAATTGATTAGTCACAGGAACTAAGTCACAGGACTAATAAAGCCAATGCAACAGCCTGTTTTACAAATGGTGGGCCTACCACAGGGATGGACATTAATACAATTCCATTGTGGGCGACATGGTAGGCTACACCACAATAAGCACGGGCCAACGTCTTTTTTGGTCCGGACCGGATGTCTTTTTTTGGTGTTTTACCAACGGTTGGCCTACCACATAGATGGGCATTCATAAGATTTAATTTCAGGCAACACTGTAGGCTACACCTCAGTAAGCACAGACCAACGCTGACACCTTTTGGATGTCTTTTTTTGGTGTAGTCCTGACCGGCCTTGATTTCTACATCCACGGACGTTGGTTTTTGGTCCAGTCTGGACCAAATCTGAACCAATCATAGATGTTTATGTTTGGTTCAGATTTTGTCTGGTCTGGACCAGCCTTGATTTGGCCCAAACATAGACGTCTATAAATTACGTCTTTTCAACTTTCATTCTGAACCAAAAAGGAACCTGATTTCAACGTCCGGAAAATACATATTTTTTCAATGTCTGGAAAATACGTATTTTCTACTTTCATTCAGAACCGAAAATGAACCTGATTTCAACATCCGGGAAATACGTATTTTTCAACGTCCGTAAAATACGTCTTTTCACCTTTCATTCAGAACCTAAATTGAACCTAACTTCAACGTCTGGAAAATACATTTTTTTTAGACGTCTTTTCAGTGTCATTTTGCTTACTGGGACTATTTTTGTTTTTTCGGGGGCGCATTTTTTGGTCTTGTCTAGGGCGGCAGAACGGCCAGGACCGGCCCTGCCTAGAGGAACATAGAGCCAGTGGACGGCCACACTACCACACAGAGCCTGTCAAACACAGACTATTTATACCCGCTTCAGAATTGACTGGAAGGACAGCTACAGGAAGTGGAACGAACGAGTTTGGTTAGCAAAGAGGAGAGACGTTTCTGTAGTAAACAAGTTGTAAACGAGCTAGCTACAGCACTGAATGTGTGTGTGTGTGTGTGTGTGTGTGTGTGTGTGTGTGTGTGTGTTGAGTCTTGTGTTGACGAGAGCAAAGGCAGTCATTTTGTGACACACCACAGAATATAAACAAAGATAACCAGACCACTACTCTGTGTTTATGTCCTGTAGAGAGCGAGAGAGAGAGAGAGAGAGAGAAGAGAGAGAGAGAGTTTACCTGAAGCTGGGTCAATGGGTTCCTTATTTTGTATTTGTACAGAATGACTGACAGTTAACTGATGAACTTGCAGTGAGTTGGCTACATTATCTTGTTAGTTGACAATCACATAGTCAGATGGTGGCTTTGTACAAATAGTTAAGAGTACTTGTTGTTTCTCTCTCTGCTCTCACAGTTGTGAGGCTGCTATAAAGTCATCTGATTTTACAGTAATAAGACACTAGGATGCATTTACATGTAGTGCTATCCCAAAATTATCGGTATCAGTCAATTGCATTGACAAGCTAATGTAAATAATGTAATTACAAGGTCACTCTAACTGTTCAATATCCTTTACATTCTCTTCCTATATTTTCCCTCTTTCTCTTTCCTCTCCCTCTTTCTTTTTCTCAGGTGGTCTTTCGGTGTACTTCTATGGGAGATAGTGAGTTTAGGTAAGTTGACGTATAGTGATGCTGTGGGAACATTATACATTTTATTAGATGAGGAATAGCAATAGCCCATGTTCCCAGCAATGTGGGTCGTCACATATAACCAAAATGTTCTCAGTTTCCACCACACCTTTTCACACCATACACCAGAAAGAGAGGGGGAAGGGGCCCCAGCTGAGAGTTAACAGAGTAGTCACGCACAGAGAGTCAGCAGAACATCACCCCTCACTCTGGGAAATATACTGTATCAAATTAAAGGAAATATTTACTTTGCTTGCCCGCCTGATGATGATGATGATGATGATGGTGGTGATGACAATCACGATCATGACAAAGAATGACTAAGACAAAGATGAGTCACTCGACTCCTTTCCCTGTGTCATTGTATCAATATGAAAGTGACCCGTTCTCCCTGTCCTCTCTTTGTGCATCAGGTGGTACTCCCTACTGTGGGATGACCTGTGCTGAGCTCTATGAGAAACTCCCCCAGGGCTACAGGATGGAGCAGCCCAGGAACTGTGATGACGAAGTGTAAGTAATGACCTTGGCTTGGACCTGTGTGTTTGTGTGTGCATACATGCGTCTGTGTGAGAGTGTGCGTGTGGGGATGTGTGTGAGAGAGGGAGAGACAGAGAGGGAGGGAGGGTGTATATGTGTATACTGTATTCGTCCACCGTTATAGCTGGTTCATTGTTTTGTTTTTTAGGTATGAGTTAATGAGGCAGTGCTGGAGAGACCGGCCATATGAGAGACCTCCTTTCTCTCAGATCTCTGTACAGCTCAACAGGATGCAGGAGGCCAGGAAGGTAAGGAGACATTCACCTACAGTTTCACTTAGGACTCTTTTCATCTTTTCAATAAGCTAGCAACTCCCTGATCTATCCCATAGGGCACAGAGGTAACCTGGTCCCAGACCTGTTTGTGTTGTCTTTCAGGAGTTGGCTGAGAGGGTCATAGTTACATAGAATTCCTCTTCAAATTGCATTCCACACCCTAGTTCTCTAAGTCATTCTACATTCTTAGAAAAAAAGGTGCCATCTAGAACCTAAAAGGGTTTCCTCGGCTGTCCCCATAGGAGAACCCTTTGAAGAACCAGTTTTGGTTCGAGGTAAAACCCTTTGGTTCCACGTAGAACCCTTTTCGGTTCCATGTAGAACCCTTTCCACAGAGAGTTCTACATGGAACCCAAAAGGGTTCTACCTGAAACCAAAAAAGGTTATACCTGGAACCAAAAAGGGTTCTCCTAGGGGGACAGCTGAAGAACCCTTTTGGAACCCTTTTTTTGTAAGAGTGTACTATCTTACTGCCATCATTTCACCTAACCTCCCTCCCCAGGCCTACGTGAACATGGCACTCTTCGAGAACTTCACCTACGCTGGGATAGACGCCACGGCCGAGGAGGCCTGACTACCAGCCCCCACAAACCCCAGCAGGTCACGTAGCCCACGGGAGAGGCCCCGAGGCTCAGCCCTGCGTTACTGCCGCCCCCCTGCTGCTGCCCAACGTTGGGACCGATGGAATAGCAGACGATCCACCTGGACCACGAGGGTATAGAGGGAGGACTGTGAAAGGACACTGTTGAGGTCATTACGGGGGCTGGGAAGGGAGATGTGGAACTGGACACTGCATGAAGTGCTTACAACCCTGCCAGGTGGGTTGGTGGGTGGGGCTTGGGGTTGCCTTTGGGCCTGGTTTGGGAGATGTGACACTAGACTTGGGACATGTTATGGTTCTTGTTTGAAGGACAGGATGGACAAGGAAGGTGCTCCATGACATGATACTACACTGCCAGAGTCACATGCTACTACACTGCCAGAGTCTGATGGGTGCTCTATGAACTTTCAGCCCTTCATCCAAATGAAGAGAGGACTTCTTTGTGGACATATGGACACACGTGGAGTTTGCTGTCCATTCCGAGATGGATTGAGATGGATCCGACTGGGGGAAAAAACAATGTAGCACTTGTCTATTCACTTATTTCTCGTTTTGTAGTAGGGGAGAGTGGGATAAGTTGAGCCATTTTTTACATTCATCATCACTCCGTTAAGGGAAATATAGTATCTTTCCAACAACGATATCTACATATATTTCAGGATGTTGTGTATCCCTGGAAATAATAAAAATTAATGTAAACATTACAGTTTTGAAAACATAGCTTGTCCAAAAAAAGTGGTCTTGTGGCACCACTTACCAACTTACCTCTGTACTGAATTAAATATTACCACTACCTTTTTAAAACCATGTCTATCTTTATTTACCAAATACAATTCAACACAATCATAATACTTTTTTGGTATTTTAATCATTATAAGCATATTTTAACACTGGCTTAACACCTAACACACACTTTGTTCTCTTTTTTGACACTTTTAACATACACCCTGTTGTTACCTCATATCCCAGCGATAATGCCTTGCATTATGGCCATTGGCTCAACTTACCCCAAGGCAAACATTTTGACTATATTAGCCCACACAGCTACAAGGATGCACTTTCATGCTAGGTTTAGGCCCTCATATTGAAGCTTATAGAAACCCCAACTGATGCATAGAATGATCTTAAAAGTATCTACTTTGGTTTAGATACAAGCATCATGAAACTTCTAACACAATAAAATCATTTGACTTGGTGAAAATCTGTTTTTTGGACCTAACTTGCTTATCACTTTTTCCATGTGGTTTCTTCCTTTACAGACTCAATGAAATAATGACCTCTTCCAAAATATTTGGTCAAATTGTTAATTTTGTTTATTGTTTCCTAGAAACAAGGGTGGCTCAGCTTACCCCTTTGGCTCAACTTACCCCACTCTCCCCTTTATCGTTTACATGAGAATGTACCTACTGTATATACTGTATTTCTTCCTTAACGTGTCCTTTTAGAATATCTCATCCTCTTGTAAAAGTGTAGTATAAATCTTATATACAGACAATTTGTTTACCTTTGTGACATACTGTATGCTACCTGTATCCCTTTGGATGGTGTATCTACTGTACCTACTACACTGTAAGAAAATGTTTTGTTTTCAGTTTTCTTAAATAAAACCTCTCAGTGGTGACTGACTGGACTGAGGCACATAAATAACTTGAGCTGTGAATCTAAAGTAGTACATTTTACTATTTCATTTTTTTCTGTTGGATCTAACCTAGCCTCGCCAAGAACCCGGTTTTGTGACAACGACGTGATTTTGGAAGTACGGCAACGCAAGACTAGACCCAACCCATCAACAATGCCACTATTGCCACTGTTTCTCAGAGTCCTGGAATTGTAAGAAGTGAGGTAGAATAAAGTGTTGTTTTTACTCATGGTGGAGAGTGGGGGCACACTATTGGCTTACTATTGTCCCTCTGCATGTCAGTGTGTTGGGTGTCAGGGCTAAACCGCAGCCCAGGTTCTGACCGGGAGGCCTGAGGTTGACAGGGCCCTGGCCTCTTCCCTGGTGCACAGAGCTGATCTTTTAGGAGAAACACAGACACAATCCAACACACACACCGACACACACACACACACACACCGACATACACACACACACAGGGCCTCTTCCCTGCTGCAGGGAGCTGATCTGTCATTGGATTTCCTCCTGCTGACAGGCAAAGCACTGAGGACTGACACGCAGGGCCCCGCTGAGCTCAGCTTCCTGACAGCAGAACACATACACACATACAGTAGATGCTCTCACACACACACACGCTCACAGGCACACACAGACAGATATACACACACACATACGTGCACATGCACATGCACACACACAAACGTTTGTTTTACCAAACAATTGATTCCCATTCAAAATCTTATTTTCCCTAAACCTTAACCCTAAACCTAACTCTAACCCTTAACCCTAATGGCGAATGTGCATAAAGATGTCGACTCCCATGTACTTACCACAAATGCCTAGTTTGCTAAGTTCGCCATATTGTACATTGCTCTCCATTAGCACAGTGTACATGATCCAAATTCTAGCTCCAAGAGTCAGTAAAAAAAAAAACGAAAAAGTAGACTGTGATGATTTACTGGCACATTGAACCATGTCGCACGTTGTAGTATAAGGAGTCTGTGGGTAGTGCTAAAACGATGACGTCATATCCGAATTCCTCCATCTTTATGCACCTTCGCCATTCTAACCTTAACTGTAACCCTAACCCTAAAATAGCCTTTTTCCTTGTGGGGACCTGCAAAATGTCACCACACATTTTCCTTGTTTTACTGTCCTTAAAGGACTTCTGTCCCCACAAGGATAGTAAAACCAAAAACACTATAGATGGCGAAGTAGTGCAGTCCTGTTTCTGTCGTGTGTCTGTAAATAGCCTGTAAATACCCTGTTTTTTTGTATTTTTCGTACATATTTCCCTATCAGACTTTTCATCCTTCTACAAAATATACTTTCCTGCAACCCGCCTCACTCAATGTGGAACGGATTCTATTATTGACTTACCTTTTATCTAGAATCTAGAATCTCCAGTTGAAACTAGCTAGCCAGCTAACTAGCTACTTGCTATTAGCCACAGCTAGCGGTGTTTCACCCAGATCATTGGATTTTTTCCGCGGGATTAATTTTAATCACTGGACATTGATCACCGGATATTCGGCCAGTCTGCACAGCGCGTTATCGACCCAGAACATATCAGTTTTTTCCGCCGGAATCACTGATTCACTGGACCTTTAACTCCGGATTCATCGCTACCAGCTGGCTACAACAAAACGGACGCTGTGGTCTGGCTAATCATCCCGAGCTAGGCCCATCTCCCGGCTATCTACCTCTCTATCAACCGGACGGGACCACCTAGTGTTGACACGGAGCCCCGCCGATCCTACACGACTGGTCTGCCGACGAAATCGTCTGATGTGGTTACGACGTTAACCACGAAGATTCCATCCATCTGCTAGCCCTGGCCCGTTAGCACACGTTATCCGTGGCCTCTTACTCACTAAACTGAACTAGCTACTGAACTAGCTACTTGCTATTAGCCACAGCTAGCGGTGTTGCACCCAGAATATTGGATTTTTTTCCGCGGGATTAATTTTTAATCACTGGACATTGATCACCGGATATTCGGCCAGTCTGCACAGCGCGTTATCGACCCAGAACATATCAGTTTTTCCGCCGGAATCACTGAATCACTGGACCTTTAACTCCGGATTCATCGCTACAATAAAACGGACGTAGCACACGCTAGCCGTGGCCTCTTACTCACTAGCGCTTCACCACTGGACCTTATGATAACTCAGCTATACAGCTGATATCTGCTGGACTGTTCCTTTTTACGGTACTACATCCTGTTTATGTTTAGCCTCAGCCCAAACATGGTTAGTTTATTGTTGTTTCGGTTATTTCTAATTGTACTATTTCACTGTAGACCCCCCAGCCTAGCTAAACCTGCCTTAGTTAGCTCCTTTGTCCCTCCCCCCATACACTCAGAGACCGACTCAATTGATGCCTCTAGAGATACTATCTCTTTCATTGTTACCCAACGCTTAGGTTTACCTCCACTTTACTCATATCCTTCCATATCCTTGTCTGTACATAATGCCCTGAATCTTTTCTATAACACCCGGAAATCTGCCCCCTTTATTCTATGTACCCAACGCACTAGAAGACCAGTTCTTAAAGCCTTTAGCCGTATCCTTATTCTAGTCCTCCTCTGTTCCTCTGGTGATGTAGAGGCTAACCCAGGCCCTGTAGCCCCCAGTATCACTCCTACTCCCCAGGAGCTATCATTTGATGACTTCTGTAATCGCAAAAGTCTTGGTTTCTTGCACATAAATATCAGAAGTCTACTTCCTAAGTTTGAGTTATTCACTGCGTTAGCACACTCTGCCAACCCTGATGTTCTAGCAGTGTCTGAATCCTGGCTCAGGAAGGCCACCAAAAATTCTGAAATTTCCATCCCCAACTATAACATTTTCCGTCTAGATAGAACTGCCAAAGGGGGTGGAGTTGCAATCTACTGTAGAGATAGCCTGCAGAGCTCTATCATACTATCCAGGTCTGTGCCCAAACAGTTTGAGCTTCTACTTCTAAAAATCCACCTTTCCAGAAATAAGTCTCTCACTGTTGCTGCTTGCTACAGACCCCCCTCAGCCCCCAGCTGTGCCCTGGACACCATATGTGAATTGATTGCCCCCCATTTATCCTCTGAGTTTGTACTGCTTGGTGACCTAAATTGGGATATGCTTAATACCCCAGCCATCCTACAATCCAAGCTAGATGCCCTCAACCTCACGCAAATTATCAACGAACCTACCAGGTACAACCCTAAATCCTTAAACATGGGTACCCTCATAGATATCATCCTGACTAACATACCCTCTAAATACACCTCAGCTGTCTTCAACCAGGATCTCAGCGATCACTGCCTTATTGCCTGCGTCCGTAACGGGTCCGCGGTCAAACGACCACCCCTCATCACTGTCAAACGCTCCCTAAAACACTTTAGCGAGGAGGCCTTCCTAATTGACCTGGCCCAGGTATCCTGGATGGATATAGATCTCATTCCGTCAGTAGAGGATGCCTGGTTGTTCCTTAAAAGTAATTTCCTCTCAATCTTAAATAAACATGCCCCATTCAAAAAATACAGAACTAAGAACCGATATAGCCCCTGGTTCTCCTCAGACTTGACAGCCCTTGACCAGCACAAAAACATCCTGTGGCGTACAGCATTAGCATCAAATAGCCCCCGCGATATGCAACTTTTCAGGGAAGTTAGGAACCAATATACACAAGCAGTCAGGAAAGCAAAGGCTAACTTTTTCAAACAGAAATTTGCATCCTGTAGCACTAACTCCAAAAAGTTTTGGGACACTGTAAAGTCCATGGAGAATAAGAGCACTTCCTCCCAGCTGCCCACTGCACTGAGGCTAGGAAACACTATCACCACCGATAAATCTACAATAATCGAGAATTTCAACAAGCATTTTGCTACAGCTGGCCATGCTTTCCATCTGGCTACCACTAACCCGGCCACCAACTCTGCACCCTCTGCTGCAACTTGCCCATGCCCCCCCCCGCTTCTCCTTCACACAAATTCAGACAGCTGATGTTTTGAAAGTGCTGCAAAATCTGGACCCCTACAAATCAGCTGGGCTAGACAATCTGGACCCTTTCTTTCTAAAACTAACCGCCGAAATTGTCGCAACCCCTATTACTAGTCTGTTCAACCTCTCTTTCATAACGTCTGAGATCCCCAGAGATTGGAAAGCTGCCGCGGTCATCCCCCTCTTCAAAGGGGGTGACACTCTAGATCCAAACTGCTACAGACCTATATCCATCCTGCCCTGCCTTTCGAAAGTATTCGAAAGCCAAGTTAACAAACAGATCATCGACCATTTCGAATACCACCGTACCTTCTCCGCTATGCAATCCGGTTTCCGAGCTGGTCACGGGTGCACTTCAGCCACGCTCAAGGTCCTAAACGATATTATAACCACGATTGATAATAGACAGTACTGTGCAGCCGTCTTCATCGACCTGGCCAAGGCTTTCGACTCTGTCAACCACCGCATTCTTATTGGCAGACTAAATAGCCTTGGTTTCTCAAATGACTGCCTCGCCTGGTTCACCAACTACTTCTCAGATAGAGTTCAGTGTGTCAAATCGGAGGGCCTGTTGTCTGGACCTATGGCAGTCTCTATGGGGGTGCCACAGGGTTCAATTCTTGGGCCAACACTTTTCTCCGTGTATATCAATGATGTCGCTCTTGCTGCTGGTGACTCTCAGATCCACCTCTACGCAGACGACACCATTTTGTATACATCTGGCCCTTCATTGGACACTGTGTTAACAAACCTCCAAACGAGCTTCAATGCCATACAACAATCCTTCAGTAGCCTTCAACTGCTCTTAAACACTAGTAAAACTAAATGCATGCTTTTCAATCGAACGCTGCTAGCACCCGCCCACCCGACTAGAATCACCACTCTCGACGGGTCTGATCTAGAGTATGTGGACAACTACAAATATCTAGGTGTCTGGTTAGACTGTAAACTCAACTTCCAGACTCACATAAAGAATCTCCAATCCAAAGTTAAATCTAGAATCGGCTTCCTATTTCGCAACAAAGCCTCCTTCACTCATGCTGCCAAACATGCCCTCGTAAAACTGACTATCCTACCGATCCTTGACTTCGGCGATGTCATTTACAAAATAGCCTCCAACACTCTACTCAGCAAATTGGATGTAGTCTATCACAGTGCCATCCGTTTTGTCTCCAAAGCCCCATACACTACTCACCACTGTGACCTGTACGCTCTTGTTGGCTGGTCCTCACTACATGTTCGTCGTCAAACCCACTGGCTCCAGGCCATCTATAAATCACTGCTAGGCAAATCCCCGCCTTATCTTAGCTCATTGGTCACCATAGCAGCACCCACCCGTAGTCTGCGCTCCAGCAGGTATATCTCACTGGTCATTCCCAAAGCCAACACCTCCTTTGGCCGCCATTCCTTCCAGTTCTCTGCTGCCAATGACTGGAACGAATTGCAAAAATCTCTGAAGCTGGAGACTCTTATCTCCCTCAATAACTTTAAGCATCAGTTGTCAGAGCACCTTACCGATCACTGCACCTGTACACAGCCCATCTGAAATTAGCCCACCCAACTACCTCATCCCTATATTGTTATTTATTTTGCTCTTTTGCACCCCAGTATCTCTATTTGCACATCATCTCTTGCACATCTAGCATTCCAGTGTTAATACTATTGTAATTATTCTGCACTATAGCCTATTTATTGCCTTACCTCCATAACTTGCTACATTTGCACACACTGTATATATATTTTCTGTTGTATTTCTGACTTTGTTTTTTTTACCCCATATGTAACTCTGTGTTGTTTTTATTGCACTACTTTGCTTTATCTTGGCCAGGTCGCAGTTGTAAATGAGAACCTGTTCTCAACTGGCTTACCTGGTTAAATAAAGGTGAAAAAAATAAAAAAAATAACCTAAACTGGACCTAAGAGATACAGTGCACACAGGAGAAACGCACAGCTGTATCCTACTATCTACACAGATGCCCCTTTGAACTATTTAAGATTTCAGCCCTTCTACCAGGAAATAGGAACTGATGAAGGATGCAACTTCTATAGAAGCACCTCTGTCTATCCTCCCTGTCTGTGGTCCTCTTTGAGGCAATGCTCTATCTGGCCCCATGGACCTGGCTGCCTCCGGTCAACTGACCAATAGATAAATTCAGAGCGTTGCCAGATTGTCCGTTCGTAAATTCAGAGCGTTTCGCACTCAGAGCTTTCAGAGCGCACACTCTGGCCGAGGAGTAGGGTTGATCCGAGCGTTCTGACCTCACAACGGCAGTCAAGCACCCAAGCTAACTTGCTAACGTTGGCTTGCTTGTTAACTACTTCCAGACACAAATGAGAGAACACCTCACTCTGACCATTTTACTCACCCTAGCAGAGCTGGTTAGGCTGTTTTCATGTTATCCCGAGCGTTTGGTGACTGTAACCGTGCTGTTGGCAACAATTTAATTAAGCTTTTTTGGTGATGTTTACTGACACCAGCCATATTCAACAGGTGTTGAGCGTTTGTAAATTCATCAGTTATTCTGTGCTCTGGCACACTCAGACAAGAGGGCTCTGAAATCGGAGTAAATAGCCAGAGCGAATTAACAATATCCATTGAGAACGCATGACTATACCACTTAGTTAAGCTAAGAAAGAAGTGAATAATCAAGTCAATAAACGTTGGGTAGTTAGTTAGATAGCATATAGTTAATATACTGGCAAGTTCGATGTATTAGTAGCCAACTAACGTTACTTAGGTAGCTAGCTAACATACGGTACATACTGCTGAAATGATATGCTATGCGGTTCGTAAGGATAGTGTAGCTAACAAATTGTCAGCCAACATGACGTGTAACATAACTTATTTGAAAAGTCATTACTTTATTACATTGCTCAACATTTTCTTGACATTTGTCATAATTAGTTAAAGCAATTCATTTTTATCCTCTCTCGTCGGACTTCGGCAGCATATTTTCCACAATTTTCTTCAAATCTGAAAATGTTGTGAAGCCACGCCCATTTTCGGAAGAATGTAGTAAGACATCCGGGAACTTTTGCCATAATTACTATATGCATACTATGACCAATAAGCATACTACATATTCAATTTACGTCACAAATAGTATGGTTAGTGAAGATAGTATGAGTATGCGAACACAGCTATAGATTCAACCACAAAGACCAGGAGGTTTTCCAATGCCTCGCAAAGAAGGGCACCTATTGGTAGATGAAAAAAAACAAAAAGGAAACATTGAATATCCCTTTAAGCATGGTGAAATTATTAATTACACTTTGGATGGTGTATCAGTACACCCAGTCACTACAACGATACAGGCGTCCTTCCTAACTCAGTTGCCGGAGAGGAAGGAAACCGCTCAGGGATTCCACCATGAAGCCAATGGTGACTTTAAAACAGTTACAGAGTTTAATGGCTGTGATAGGAGAAAACGGAGGATGGAACACTGTAGATACTCTACAACACTAACCTAAATTACACAGTGAAAAGAAGGAAGCCTGTACAGAATAAAAACAGTTTAAAAAAACATGCACCCTGTTTGCAACAAGGCACTAAAGTAATACTGAAAAAGAAATGTGGCAAAGCAATTAACTTTTTGGCCTGAATACAAAGTTTTATGTTTGGGGCAAATCCAATACAACACATTACTAAGTAACACTTTCCATATTTTCAAGCATATTGGTGGCTGCATCATGTTATCGGTATGCTTGTAACCATTAAGGACTGGGGAGTTTTTCAGGATAAAAAAGAAACGGAATGGAGCTAAGCACAGGCAAAATCCTAGAGGAAAACCTTTCCACCAGACACTGGGAGGTGAATTCAGCTTTCAGCAGTACAATAACCTAAAACACAAGGCCAAGAAGACAGTGAATTTTCCTGAGTGGCCAAGTTACAGTTTTGACTTAAATCTACTAGAAGATCTATGACAAGACCTGAAAATGGTTGTCTTGCAATGTTCAACAACTCATTTGACAGAGCTTGAAACATTTTGAAAATAATCATTGTCAAATGTTGCAGAATCCAGGTGTGAAAAGCTCTTAGAGACTTACCTAGAAAGACTTACAGCTGTAATCAGTGGCAAAGGTTATTCTACAAAGTCTTGACTCAGGGGTGTGAATACATATGAAAATGAGATATTTCTGTACTTAATTTTCAATTAATTTGCACACACTTCTAAAAACATTTTCACTTTGTCATTATGGTGTATTGTGTGTAGATGGTGAGAAAAAAAACATGTTTTACCCAAATTGAATTCATGCTGTAACACAACAAAATGTGGAATAAGTCAAGGGGTATGAATACTTTCTGAAGGCATTGAACGTGTCATATACAGTGGGGAGAACAAGTATTTGATACACTGCCGATTTTGCAGGTTTTCCTACTTACAAAGCATGTAGAGGTCTGTAATTTTTATCATAGGTACACTTCAACTGTGAGAGACAGAATCTAAACATTGTATGATTTTTAAGTAATTAATTTGCATTTTATTGCATGACATAATACATCAGAAAAGCAGAACTTAATATTTGGTACGAAGCATCTCAAGGTCCTGGAGTGGCCTAGCCAGTCTCCAGACCTGAACCCAATAGAAAATCTTTGGAGGGAGCTGAAAGTCCGTATTGCCCAAAGACAGCCCCGAAACCTGAAGGATCTGGAGAAGGTCTGTATGGAGGAGTGGGCCAAAATACCTGCTGCAGTGTGTGCAAACCTGGTCAAGACCTACAGGAAACGTATGATCTCTGTAATTGCAAACAAAGGTTTCTCTACCAAATATTAAGTTCTGCTTTTCTGATGTATCAAATACTTATGTCATGCAATAAAATGCAAATTAATTACTTAAAAATCATACAATGTGATTTTCTTGATTTTTGTTTTAGATTCCGTCTCTCACAGTTGAAGTGTACCTATGATAAAAATTACAGACCTCTACATGCTTTGTAAGTAGGAAAACCTGCAAAATCGGCAGTGTATCAAATACTTGTTCTCCCCACTGTAACTGACTTTTACTGCACTCTGAATAAAGGATGACATGTTCAAAGATTTCCATTTGATCTTAGATCTTTGGTGAGAGAGCTTAGAGTAGCTATAATGTTTACAATGTGTGTCAGAGGCCACCCTCTCTCTTTCACCCCCATCTGGGTGCCTGACTGGCTCAATCCACACAACACACACTTCCTGTAGCATGAGGAACTGTCAGATAGGGCCTCCCCTCATTACTACCCCCCAGACCACAACACTATGTTGACACACAACACCCTGACACTCTCAGACAGAGAGGTTAATGGATAGTGATCGGATAGGTTAGACATACCTGTGGATGTATATGTCATGGATCTCGATCTCACCTGGAGGATACTCTGCGTCTGGCTTTGGACCACAGCATGCTGGGTGGATGTTCTGGGGCAGGGGACCAGGGCTGGGGCTGTCCCTCACCTGTCAAAGAAAGGTATGACATTGGAGCACCTGTTTTATCTTACACAACAAATCAATTGCAATAGTAAACTGTCCACCAGTATGTATAATATCTGAAATAGTGTCACTGTCAGAGCTACACAAATAAAGACAATAATGTTGATCCTCTCACAGCTTAACTTCCCTGTTGTTCTCTGCTGAGGATTTATTTCAATTTTTCTGTTAAGCACTGATATGACATGTTCACAAACAAGTGCATCAGTAGATTAAAGAAAAGTATTACTCAAAAACTATATTTCGGTATTTGTTGTATTAGTCCACTGTTGTCCCAAAACGTGTTGCATGTCAGCAATCAAGTTTTCAAGATATAAAACGTTCAAAATACAGAGATTGTCACAGTATGATGCGTTTTTTGTGGTATCATACTGTGACACTTTTTGTATTTTGAATTAAACAAATACCGAAATATAGTTTTTGAGTAGTATTTTCCTATTCTATGTTAAAGTGTTATAATAAGATAATAAATACATTATATGCATTATTTTTATGCCACAGTATATTTCATGAAACCCATCCTATCGGTATCTACTACACTCCCTAACAGATGTTCTACTGTTGGCGGATGATGCAGAGCCAAAGTGTTTTACCAGGACACAGTATGACTTCACCTGTTTCTGGGAGACACCAGGCAACAACTCGTATGACTTCTTCTATAGTAATGATGAGTATGTTCAGTGTATTCTGGTCATTTACAAAACAACAATATTTTCAGAAAGAAATGAAATACACTAACATGTATTACAGTTGAAGTGGACCTGACATACACTCCATTCTGCCAGTCACTGATGCCAGTCATATTCTCTCTGTCTGTTCAGTGGGGAGGAGAAGAGGTGTAATCTTACCCTCCAGAGGACGGAGGAGAGGGGGGCAGTCCTCCATGTCTGCTCCTTCCCTCCCTCTGATGTCTTCCTGTTCATCTTCACACACATCAGAGTGTTGGAGAGCAGCTCCAACTACACACTCTATGCACGCACTGTCAGCGTCGAGGACCAGGGTGAGAGAGAGAGAGAGAGAGAGAGAGAGAGAGAGAGAATGCGGATTTTAGTAGTTTGAAATCTAAAGTTCTTACTTTCCAGTAATGGCATATCCTCTCTGCTTCATTCTTTCTTCTTTCTCCTCTGCCTCTCCTCAGTTCTCCTGGATCCCCCTGTGAATGTATCCCTTCACCCAACAGGGCAGACTGGGCAGTTCCAGGTGGCGTGGCACACACCCAGAGAGTGGGAGAACAACATGCAGTATGGGATACGATACTCCTCCCAGAGCCTGAGGGAAAGAACGGAACTGGTAGGCCTACTGAAACTCAGAAACACACAAAATCAACACCAATTCAACCAGTCAGATTAGCTGCAAGGGGAAAAAGATACAGTGAAGGAAAAAAGTATTTGATCCTCTGCTGATTTTGTACGTTTGCCCACTGACAAAGACATGATCAGTCTATAATTTTAATGGTAGGTTTATTTGAACAGTGAGAGACAGAATAACAACAAAAAAATCCAGAAAAACGCATTTCAAAAATGTTATAAATTGATTTGCATTTTAATGAGGGAAATAAGTATTTGACCCCTCTGCAAAACATGACTTAGTACTTGGTGGCAAAACCCTTGTTGGCAATCACAGAGGTCAGACGTTTCTTGTAGTTGGCCACCAGGTTTGCACACATCTCAGGAGGGATTTTGTTCCACTCCTCTTTGCAGATCTTCTCCAAGTCATTAAGGTTTCGAGGCTGACATTTGGCAACTCGAACCTTCAGCTCCCTCCACAGATTTTCTATGGGATTAAGGTCTGGAGACTGGCTAGGCCACTCCAGGACCTTAATGTGCTTCTTCTTGAGCCACTCCTTTGTTGCCTTGGCCGTGTGTTTTGGGTCATTGTCATGCTGGAATACCCATCCACGATCCATTTTCAATGCCCTGGCTGAGGGAAGGAGGTTCTCACCCAAGATTTGATGGTACATGGCCCCGTCCATCGTCCCTTTGATGCAGTGAAGTTGTCCTGTCCCCTTAGCAGAAAAACACCCCCAAAGCATAATGTTTCCACCTCCATGTTTGACGGTGGGGATGGTATTCTTGGGGTCATAGGCAGCATTCCTCCTCCTCCAAACACGGCGAGTTGAGTTGATGCCAAAGAGCTCCATTTTGGTCTCATCTGACAACAACACGTTCACCCAGTTCTCCTCTGAATCATTCAGATGTTCATTGGCAAACTTCAGACGGGCCTGTATATGTGCTTTCTTGAGCAGGGGGACCTTGCAGGATTTCAGTCCTTCATGGCGAAGTGTGTTACCAATTGTTTTCTTGGTGACTATGGTCCCAGCTGCCTTGAGATCATTGACAAGATCCTCCCGTGTCGTTCTGGGCTGATTCCTCACCGTTCTCATGATCATTGCAACTCCACAAGGTGAGATATTGCATGGAGCCCCAGGCCGAGGGAGATTGATAGTTATTTTGTGTTTCTTCCATTTGCGAATAATCGCACCAACTGTTGTCACCTTTTCACCAAGCTGCTTGGCGATGGTCTTGTAGCCCATTCCAGCCTTGTGTAGGTCTACAATCTTGTCCCTGACATCCTTGGAGAGCTCTTTGGTCTTGGCCATGGTGGAGAGTTTGGAATCTGATTGATTGATTGCTTCTGTGGACAGGTGTCTTTTATACAGGTAACAAACTGCGATTAGGAGCACTCCCTTTTAGAGTGTGCTCCTAATCTCAGCTCGTTACCTGTATAAAATACACCTGGGAGCCAGAAATCTTTCTGATTGAGAGGGGGTCAAATACTTATTTCCCTCATTAAAATGCAAATCAATTTATAACATTTTTGACATGCGTTTTTCTGGATTATTTTGTTGTTATTCTGTCTCTCACTGTTCAAATAAACCTACCATTAAAATTATAGACTGATCATTTCTTTGTCAGTGGGCAAACGTACAAAATCAGCAGGGGATCAAATACTTTTTTTCCTCACTGTAGATGAATTGTTTGGTAAAAAATCGTCACCCAAACCCCATTCACTGTGCTGCTGGTGTAGAACGCCTATGATTTCTGTACCCTCCCTGTCCCCAGATAAAGCCAGTGAGGTCCCCCATCCACAGCCTGGTCTCTCTAGCGCCAGGGGAGGTGGTCAGCGTCCAGCTGAGGGTCAAACCCATTGGCTACAGCGAGAAAGATACCAGCGGTCATTGGAGCGACTGGTCGGTCCCCAAAACTGCCATGGTTCCCCAGAGTGCAGGTCTGTGGTAGTATTGTTGTAAATGTGAATAGAGGAACTGAATATGGTCACTTTACATTACTGAGTTAAGTGATGGAGTTTTACTATAATTTTTTCTCCAGCTGATATCTCATTGTTGTGCCACACTTCTGACCTGCAAAACATCACCTGCCAATGGAATGGGCAGGCCTACAGAGATGATACCTACACCATATACTACACGCTGGGACCCAAGTATTAACAAATTAAGAAATTACTCCAATGAGGTTCTTGCAAAACCCTCCTCAAAGTAATCTAAATGTAGTTTTACAGTCAAAATACCTGATCAGAGGCTATTTAACATTTTAGTCATTTAGCAGACGCTCTTATCCAGAGCGTGCCTTGCTCAAGGGCACATTGACAGATTTTTCACCTAGTCGGCTCTGGGATTAGAACCAGCGACCTTTCGGTTACTGGTACAGCACTCTTAACCACTAAGCTACCTGCCCCCCTAACCTCTTGTTGTGTATTCTCTGCAGTGAAAGTGAGGGCTGGAGAGAGTGTACGCAGAATGAGAACACCTCCTACCATTGCAGTTTCCATGGAGCAGAGTCCAGTGAGATACGGGTCAAACTCAGCGCTGGTCCTGCTACTTCCAGGCGGACCTTCTACACTGAGCCTTTCAGACTCAACAACAGCAGTGAGTCACACTGATAAAATACCATTTGGCAGCTGTGAAAGCCTCCCTTCATTAAAAAAGGAGACTATCGTCTACCGGTATACTACATTGCCATTGAGTACAAAATCGAGTCTAGCATGCATCTTACTGTATTGCTGACAATGCAGTAAGATATTGACAGACGTCTGTAACAGACAGTACAATCTGTATTGCTGGGCATACACTAATCATCTCTGCAAAACTCATGTTATGTCTCTCTCTCCTCTCCCTATGCTGCGGTCAGTTCAAACAGCCCCTCCGGGGAGGCTGAGGGGACAGTGGGAGGGGGGCAGGCTGCGTCTGAAATGGGACATCCCTCTATTGGCCCTGTCTGTCCACCTGATGTACCAGCTCTGCTACCAGCCTCGAGAGGAGACTGTCTGGAAGGTACAGAATTAACTAAATGATCTTCTTCTGTTTACTTCATTCTGTTGTGTGGTAGAACCATAAGCCTGGCTCTGTCCTTATCGCATGTAAACAGAGAACTACGTTTCGTCATGACTTTGTATTTTGCAGTACACATACCAATCACCCACCAATAACTGGGTGCAATTGTGTGTTGTCCTCTCTCTCCAGCTGGTGACCCTGCAGGGCCCAGAGACCAGTTCCTGTCTGGACATTCAGACTGGAGTTCAGTACTACATCCAGGTCAGAGCCAGACCCAACGGGTTAGTCTACGCTGGCTACTGGAGTGACTGGTCACCCCGACTCACTGTGGACACGCCCTCAGACATAGGTACAGTAAAACAATCATTGATTATGTTTAACTTCTGGAGATATTCTCCTTCTCAAGCTCTTCTAGAATTCTTTCATGTAACTCAACAGGTGCCCTCATCCCCTGCATCCCTCTCATGATGCTCATTGTCTCAGTCGTCTTCATCTCCATGTTCTCCAGGTATCTCACGTAAGATGCTTTTTCATTTTGCTTCATAATAAAATCTGTTTTACCATCAACTTATTCTTATCACCCTATACATGGACATGTGTACTGAAAATGTTTATCTTCTTCCACCAGTAAGCTCAAACAGTATCTGTGGCCACCAGTCCCAAACCTTGACAAAGTACTGCACGGCTTCCTGACAGATATCAATGGACAAAACGTAATTAATTACAGTACACAGTGGATTAACGGAACTAGATCAATTGAAAGGGTCAAGTTAACAATGAAATGTGTTCAATATATAACATATTTAGTTTATCATTGTGTGCAGATATTGGAAACCATTGGATCTGAGTGTGTCTGTATGCTCCTGTGTTACCTCCATAGGACCCTCCCTTCAACATCAAGCAGTGTTCAGAGGAGACCCCAGCCTGTGTTGTGGAGATCATGTCTGAGAGGCAGGCTCCAGGCAGAGGGATGCTTCCCAGGGAGTCCTCCTTACTACTCTCCCCAGAACAAGACACCTCAGGCGGGGAGGAGAGCCATCCTACCCTGTTCCTGGAGGTCAGTCCGGACTACGTGACCCTGACCACGGATGACGTCATCCCCCGTCTCCGAGGGAACGAGTACGTGTACGATGGGGAGGTGGGGGCGGAGTCTCAGAGCCTGGGGGTGGGGGGAGAGGAGGTGCTCCAGGAGAGGTGTCACTGCTCCTTCACTAGGTCCTCCAGCTTCCCATCATCCTCTAGTATAACAGACATCCTCAACCGCTCCTACCTACTGCTGGCCGAGCAGCCCATAAAGAGACTGGACTGTCCAGGGCAGCAGGACACCCCCCAAAGCAGCAGGACCTATGCCAACCTGGATGGCACAAGCTCAGCCAACACAAATGCCTGATTGTGCTGTGCCAGAGTGCCAACAAGGGCACACAAACGCATGAGAAAGACATGGGAAAAATAAAAGAAACCAAGTACAAAACACAAGCGGGAGGCTTTAAATATAAAAAGTGCTATTCTCAAAACAAGGATGTATTTAGGATATTCAACGTTGCACAATGCTGGATGAAATATCTTAATTTGTCTAGGAACATGTAAGACACAGCTCAAGTGTGCTTGTGGATATAAAATGGTCTTCAGAATGGACAGTTACAAAACATCGACACAATATCCATTACATCACCACTAAAACAGGTCATTGAATATGTCATTAACTTGGGCTCCCGAGTGGCGCAGCGGTCTAAAGCACTGCATCTCATTGCTTGAGGCGTCACTACAGACCCCCTGGTTCGATTCCAGGCTGTATCACAACCGGCCGTGATTGTGCGCCGCCCTATGGGACAGCCAATCGGCCCAGCGTTGTCCGGTGTAGGCCGTCATTGTAAATAAGAATTTGTTCTTAACTGACTTGCCTAGTTAAATAACAAATAAATAAAAACTTGTAGCATTATGTACATTGTAAAAAGGTGCAACAATTATAGATTTTTTGGGGGGGGATTGGATGAACCAAGAGGGACTTTGATATTTTCCTTCGACATACTATAAATATATATATTTTGCTTGTCTTATGCCTGGCTGTACAGTATATGTCTATCATAATCTTTTCACTCTGCAAAGGGGCGGCAGGTAGCTTAGTGGTTAAGAGCGTTGTGCCAGTAACCGAAAGGTCGCTGGTTCTAATCCCCGAGCCGACTAGGTGAAAAATCTGTCACATTTTTCACTTAACCCTAATTGCTCCTGTAAGTCACTCTGGATAAGAGCGTCTACTAAAATGTAGATGTAAACTATGCTTGCTTCATTCTAGCCATCTCTGGAAAGCAATACCTGTGCAGGTAATGTATTCATGAGTACATGAAGAATGGAAAGGTAGACCTACAAGTATTGTTAAATATCTTAATTATATTTGTAGATACAATATTCAAAAAATAATACAGAAAATCATAAAACCAACAAGAGCAACATTAAAATGTTTGAATAAGGATAAAAGAGGAAAGTCAAATGGCTAACTGATGGGGAACTCTAGCGCTCCCATCAACACAATGAGTTAAAACCAGATTTAAATATCCTTTCAAAAGTTTGTAACAAGGGCAATTTTCAGTAAACATACATAAAATCAATTTAATAGAAGTCATGATTTATTTTGTGCTTGGCAGAATTCCATAATAAAATGTTCAAGTACGATGCAGTTTCCCTTTCAAATGCTTCCAATGGTGCTTGCAACAATGACAACACTGAAAAGCATTTGTAAAATAATATTAAAAACAGAGGATCCTTGTCCTAAAAAAAAAATTACTCTGCCTCTCAGAAGACACCATCAAACCAAACTGTGAGCCTCTAAAAAAAGAGTACACAGCCAGAGGTGTCTGTGGGATTCATGTTCCCAGTCCTGAGTGGTACAGTAGTATTGGCTGTGGTCAAGGGCAGGCATGGGACTATGTGGTCCAATGGTGGACCTGAAGAGTTTCAGTGTGAGAGAGGGATCTTGGTTCTCACAAAACAGTACATCGATCAATTGAACGGACAGAGATAGTCCTGATGGAGCCAGTTTCCTTTCCCAATCTGGCTCAGGAACCGAGATAATTACAGTATAACCCTTCACTGCAACTGAAACCTGGTGATACGGCAGCTCTCCTGAACTGAGAAAACAAATCCTTATGTTAGGACCAACCTTGTCAGGAAACACAGGGTGGACCCCTGCCTGGACCCCTGGTGGTCTCTCTGTCGGCATTGAGTGCGTAGAGCACGTCGTTCTGGCTGACCTGCTGTAGTACGTCTAGACGGCTGGCCTCCAGCAGCAGCAGACGACACGCCCTCAGGCGCTGACACACGGCCAGACCCTCGGACACACTTAGGGGATACAGGCCCTCCACACGACACAACGCTTGGTGCTGCACTAACACCTAGGGGGAGGGTGGGGGACAGTGGACTTTAGATAAGGGAATTTGGGGAAAGATCCACAATGCGGGTAAAAGAAGGAAAGATGTGTGTTGAGCAAGAGCTGAAGTAAGTCAATGTTGACCTCAGTAGGGTCTATACCTGTTGGAAGGTGGCCACCTCCAGTCCCAGCCGCCTGAATTCAGCGATGACCGCCCTCAGGAAGAGCTTCTCCTACACCAATGCACACGTAACACACATAGATTTCAAATAGATTGACAGCTCTCTGGGCCAATGGGAACAGATTGACAGCTCTGTGGGCCAATGGGGTGTCTCTTACCTGTTGGCTTTGATGTAAGAGGAGAAGGACATCTCATCCAGGGCCTCCATCACATGACTCATGCCCACCAATCCTGTGGAGGACAGGTGTGAGGCTGAGTGCTCGCAGATCTCTGTGTCCAGACATCGCCAGATGTCTCCTGATAACGCTGCCACCTGGTGGACGGGAGAGGGACAGCGGTCAGAGACAGAAACACCACTCACAGATAGGTACCGCCAAACAGAACACTTCACAGTATCACTGGCAGACCATTCCAATCCATGGTTCCAATCGATGGCATTAATGTATCAATTAAGAGGCAGGAAGAAAAAAAAAAACAGAAGGACTGGAACGCAAGGATCTGAGTTGTGCACCCCTTGGGCTGGATAATAGAATACCTTTTTGGAGACGAGGTGCAGAGCCTCCTCCTCAAAGGCCTTGACCTTGTTCAGTCCGGACGTGATGATCTGCTGTAGCTGTACAGCTAGAACGACATCCTGGTCAGGCCCTGGACACACACACACAGTTCTAAACACCGTAAGATGCAGTTAAACACACAAACACTTTCATCCACACACTATTAGAGCTGCAAGAATACAAAATTACATTTCATAAGCAATACAAAAACATCATTAGTAAGCTCCTTAGTAAGTACAAATGCATCTGTAATGAAAGTAGAGGTGATTGCAAGCCTGGACACACCAGTAGAACAGCGCCCTCATGTGGTGGTGAAAGAGACAGTCCTTACCAGTATGCTGGTCACCCTGTTGATCATTATCCTCTCTGGGAGGTCCATGGTGTTGGCATTGGTCAGCACCACCAGGCGGGCGTGGCGCCTCTTTGGCCAATCAAACAGCTTGTACATGATGTTCTGCTTCCTGGTCCAAAAGCAAGTCCAGCTAAGGAGTGGAACACAGGGTCAGTCACAGAAATGGAATGATTAGAACAAGCATCCCCCATTCAAGTCAATGATGTGTAATTCTACTGCAATGTGTCCACGAAATATGTAGAGTAGAAATACTGAGACAATTATAGAATGAACACAATCCTCTGTCTTGACATCTATCATTTGCATCTCCCAGTTGGGGTAAACGATGGTTACAACCAAAGTAAAAATACATTCTCCTATCCTTAAAGAGTCGAGACAGAGTGCATTCGTGATTAAAAGGCGGCCTTACCTCGTCAGCCAATAGCACGGTGGTCTCCTTCTTGGGGGCGGGGTTACTGAAATTATTTTCCAATAGGGCTGCAGCGTGGTCAGTGGTCGCCTTCTGGTCTGTCAGTTTCTGAAGGAGGAGACCCGGATTTACACTATATATACACAAAAGTATGTGGACACCCCTTCAAATTAGTGGATTTGGCTATTTCAGCCACAGCCGTTGCTGACAGGTGTATAAAATCGAGCACACCGCCATGCAATCTCCATAGACAAACATTGGTAGTAGAATGGCCTTACTGAAATAATAATAAATAATAATATGCCATTTAGCAGACGCTTTTATCCAAAGCGACTTACACTCATGCGTGCATACATTTTTGTGTACGTGTGGTCCCGGGGATCGAACCCACTACCTTGACGTTACAATCGCCATGCTCTACCAGCTGAGCTATAGAGGACCACTGAAGAGCTGTTACTTTCAATGTGGCACTGTCATAGGATGCCACCTTCCCAACAAGTCAGTTTGTCAAATTTCTGCCCTGCTAGAGCTGCCCCGGTCGACTGTAAGTGCTGTTATTGTGAAGTGGAAACATCTAGGAGCAGCAACAACGGCTCAGCCGCGAAGTAGTAGGCCACACAAGCTCTCAGAACGGGACCGCCGAGTGCTGAAGCGCATAAAAATAATCTGTCCTCGGTTGCAACACTCACTACTGAGTTCCAAACTGCCTCTGGAAGCAACGTCAGCACAAAAACTGTGGCCGAGGGAAGAATCTGGGTTTGGCGGAAGCCAGGAGAACGCTACCTGCCTGTAAAGTTTGGTGGAGGAGGAATAATATTCTGGGACTGTTTTTCATGGTTCGGGCTAGGCCCCTTAGTTCCAGTGAAGGGAAATCTTAACGCTACAGCATACAATGACATTCTAGACGATACTGTTGTTCCAACTTTGTGGCAACAGTTTGGGGAAGGCCCTTTCCTGTTTTAGCATGACAATGCCCTGTGCACAAAGCGAGGTCCATACAGAAATGGTTTGTCGAGATCGGTGTGGAAGAACTTGACTGGCCTGCACAGAGCCCTGACCTCAACCTCATTGAACACCTTTGGGATGAATTGGAATGGCGACTGCGAGCCAGGCTTAATCGCCCAACCTCACTAATGCTCGTCGCTGAATGGAAGCAAGTCCCCGCAGCAATGTTCCAACATCTAGTGGAAAGCCTAGTGTAGTTGCTCACATAATTTTGTTTCAGTGGCCACGCCCCTCTGCTGGGGTAGGGATGTAAAATTCCCTACCCGATACAACATACTTCAGTGATATTGTGATTTGTAATAGACTGTCATAGCCTCAATTAAAAAAGTTAACATTGGCCGTTGATTACATAACTTTTTTTTTTTAATGGTGGGGTTGCAAAACATTTTTTATATCAAAATGGGGCCGTGGGCCAAAACAGTTTGGGAACCCCTGCGGACATGCAGATAGTTAATTAGCACAGGTACATCTCTGTCGGTTTTCCGTAAACAAGCGCTGCAACATGGAAATATGTGGGAATCCTTAAGGCGTCCGCATACATAGGTTTGGTTTGCTCATAGCACAACTCGGCTAGGCGAAGTGAACGTCTGTGCTTGCATACTCCCTTAAAATACCTTCGCTTGAAAAACTAGAGAAAAGCGGCAATATTACTGTTTGTCCCTCTTGAGACACTGTAGCAACAAGTACACTTCCTCAATACATTTTTTATTAATTGTGTTCTTTGTTGTGTGTCCGTGTAAATACTGTTTTTTGTATTTTTCGTACATATTTCCCTATCACACTTTTCACCCTTCTACTAAATATACTTTCCTGCAACCCGCCTCACTCAATGTGGAACAGATTCTATTATTTACTCAACTTTATCTAGAATCTCCAGTTGAAACTAGCTAGCCAACTAACTAGCTACTTGCTATTAGCACCATTAGCGGTTTTCACCCAGAACATCGGATTTTCTGCCGGAATAACTGAATCACTGCTCCCTAACACCGGATCGCAACTAGCTAGCCGCAACCGAATGGATGTTGCTGTAGGCTAATCACCACTGCCCCCGAAGCAAGCACCAGTTAGCCTTGAGCCAGGCCTATATCCCGGCTATCTACCTCTTTGTCTACCGGACGGGAGGAGCCAGCTAACTATTTACTTGCTATTAGCCACCGTTAGCGGTTTTTCACCATTGTCCGTGGCCTGCACTACCTACCAGCCAGCTCTAGCCTGGACTATTATCGGTCAGTCTGCACAGCGCGTTATAACGTTCAGAACGAGCGTCAGGTATCTTAACAAATTTCCCCGGACAGAACACCCGATGGCCAGAAAATACTATCGTCAATATGCGCTAAAGTAGTTTGGGTTATTAGCGTCTATGAATGGGCTGAGCTAACTAGCTGTCACCCATACTCACAAAGAGAGACAGGAACTCGTCTCTGAGTTGAACGGCTAAATTGATCAAATTCCATGCAGTTTAAAATAAATAAAATCTGCCCCGGAAGTGTACATTGTTGCACCGGAAGATATACAGTAAATATGCGAATTCGTTTCGCACAGGAAAACATTTTTCATTCAGTTTTGAGCTGTGAAGATGGCAAATAGGACGGTTAAAGATGCCAACAGTATACATGGAACAAATCCACAATACTTGGTGGAGAAAATTATTCGTACTCGAATCTATGAATCAAAATATTGGAAAGAAGAATGCTTTGGACTGACCGGTGAGTTGGAGCCATAATTATAGAGGCCTTTAGCATGGGCCGCGCCATTAAGGGCTTCCACCATTTTAAAGTAGTCAGTAGTCAACCGGGTGGGGTTTGTTGCCTCAATGGCACTGCCCATGCTGTCACAGATGCAATAATGGCACAGATATAAGATGAGTCTCTATCTATATCTATGGTTGGAGCTAGCGAACAGCTAACGCTAGTTAGCTTGAAATACAAATACCACAAATGTAAACATAGTAGTACTAGGAAGTGCGCTAGCTAGCATCTAGTCATGTTTACCCTGTTACATTCACGTATAGGTTTATGCACACCAAAAGTACTAGTTAGCGAACAATGCCTGCTCAATATTGACGATCTTATTTCTGATTTTGGTTTCTCTTTGATCACTAGCCGAGCTTGTCGTTGACAAAGCCATGGCGCTGAAGTTTGTCGGTGGAGTTTATGGCGGAAATATCAAACCGACACCTTTCCTGTGTCTCACTCTGAAGATGCTGCAGATCCAGCCAGAGAAAGACATCATCGTAGAATTCATAAAAAACGAGGATTTCAAGTAAGATTTTGCATTCATGCTGGTTATAGTATAAGAAGCCTTTATGTATTAGTTTTTCTAACTTTTCATTTATGACTATCTTGTAACTCCCAGCTTGACAAATGTGATTTAAAAAATCCGAACCTACATGGCAACCTCACTGTGATGTTTTCTACACCTTAGGTATGTCCGCTTGCTTGGAGCCATGTACATGAGGTTGACTGGGACATCAGTGGATTGCTACAAATACCTGGAACCACTGTACAACGACTACAGAAAAATCAAGAGTCAGAACCGAAATGGGGGTGAGTCCTTTCGTTTACATGGAATGATTATACAATGCGAAATTGTCTACCTTGGATTTAAATGGCACTTTCTCCTCTCACCCTCTGTTTCAGAGTTTGAGCTGCAACACGTTGATGAGTTTATTGATGAACTACTACACGCTGAGAGAATGTGTGACATAATCCTTCCCAGGCTTCAGGTAGGTATCATACCCGTGTATGTGCTCACATCCCTTGTTTCACTGACCTAGACTGCTGATGTGTGTGTGTGTGTGTGAGTGTGTTAACTACAGAAAAGACAGGTTCTTGAGGAGGCAGAGCTGTTAGACACACGCATCAGTGCCCTGGAAGAGGACCTGGATGAGGTGGAGACCAGCGATGAGGAAGATGAGGAAGAGGAGAAGGTAGTCGTCTTAACTTTATCCCCCTTTCCATTCTATCCCCTGCATAAGCTAACTGTAAAGTTGAGTAAACTTACGCTAGTGTAGTGGGTGGAAGAATTCTAACGTTGTTTCACTGTCCATGTCTGTCTCTCTGTCGTCTTTCTGTTCAAATGTCTACAGACAGAGAGAGTTCAGACCCCAGAGCCTCACAGACGGAGTTACCGAGACAACGATCGGCCTCGCCACTCGCCCTCTCCACGCTACAGACGCAGCAGTCGTTCACCCAGACGGTAACTAACCAGACATATCTCAAAGTTCATAGTAGGGATGTAATTAATGTTTAAGATACGAGTGCATCAATCCGCGAGACCCCAAACGGCTCCAAATCTAGCATGCATCGGTCAGAAAATTGATTCCAACATTACGAATGGCTTTTTTTTAAAGCTCATATTACTTTATTTCTACCTTCTGAAAATACCTCTCATTTTCAGTGTCGAACTAAGCATGTAACTGCGTTGACAGTCGTTGATCTACAAGTCATTTTGCATGCCAAACAACCCCAGGCAATATCAGTAGCCTAGTCAAACTGCGAACTGTGCGAGGCTTCGCACTCTGACCAAAGAGAGGTCTATTCCTGATCTTGCACCTTAAGCATTCAAATGTTTGTAAAATGGCTTGCGCAATATTAGGCTTTATTAGTTGAGTGTCAGCTAATGTAATTTGCTAGGTTGTTGCTATCAAATGTGTTGAAAATAGTGTTTTACGGGAATAAATGTAAGCTACCGCATACCGGAGACACAACTCATCTGGCTATACCTGCTGATCAGGGCTTACATTATATTTTATTTTGATTGTTCAGGTTCACCATCAGATATAGTATTGGTAGTTTTGCTTTAAACAATCAGTGTATATGGTCATTTTTAGATATATGGGATAAAGTTAACTTCATAACGAGGACAGCAATCACTTTTGGAACCACAATGCATGGCAAAACGAGAGGAGAAGAGAAGCTCCGTAAAAATGTTTAATACCTTTCGATTTTGAGACGGGTGAAATCCAAAGTTGTGCTATACACCGAGTGTACAAAACATTAGGAACACCTTCCTAATCTGGAGTTGCACCCCCTTTTGCCCTCAAAACAGTGTCAATTAGTCGGGGCATGGGCTCTACAAGGTGTCAAAGCGTTCCACAGGGATGCTGGCCCATGTTGACTCAAATGCGTCCCACGGTTGTCAAGTTGGCTGGATGTTCTTTGGGTGGTGGACCATTCTTGATACACATAGGAAACTGTTGACCATGAAAAACCTAGCAGTGTTGCAGTCAAACCAGTGCGCCTGGCACCTACTACCATACCCCGTTCAAAGGCACTTAAATCTTTTGTCTTTCCCATTCACCCTCTGAATGGCACACATACACAATCCATGTCTCAATTGTCTCCACGCTTAAAAATCCTTCTTTAACCTGCCTCCTCCCCTTCATCTACACTGATTTGAAGTGGATTAATTGGCTGTCATAGCTCATTTCTTAAGATAAATATTGATACATTACTGGCTCAAACACTTATAATCTGCAAAAATGACAAGTTAATTAGTAGGTGATGTCAGATCAAAAGTGGGGGGACAAAAAGCGTACATGCATTGCCCCCCCCCCCCCCCCTCTGTTTGATCTCTTATGGTTCAGTTTAGGTGCCTACATACACTAATAGATGTATACATCACACACACACACACAGAAAGACGTCAGATCCAGCTCAGAGAGGCCCAGCTCATGAGCTCCATCAGCAGTAGATTTTTATTTAGAATGGAATAATGAATGTGTTTATGCAACAAATGTTAGTGCATCGAACCGAATCGTTTCAAACTAAAACGTATCATTCCTGTGTCTCATCGGAGCACATGAATCTGGAAACGCATTGAATCATCTTGAAAGATCCCTAGTTCATAGTCTTTTCCTATAACATCCTCAAGACACTAAAGATTTGTGCATCCTTTTTATTCTGTCTAGGAGGAGCAGATCACCTAAGAGACGAAGGTATGAAGCTATGTTCTCTGCTTGGATTCTTCTCTGCTGGATTTCTCTTATTTTCCTTTGTTTGAATTCCTAACTCTGATGGTATTGAATATAATAACACAGAACCTACTTTAAGTGTTTAATTCGTAAATGAGCTGAGACTCAGATTTACTTCACTAGGGTCCTGGTTACTTGTAAACAGTGCCCTGTATTAATGATGCCTGTATTGTTTCTGTCTCCTGTTGCCACACAGCCCATCCCCCAGACGAGAACGCCACCGCAGCAAAAGCCCCCGTCGCCACCGCAGCCGCTCTCGGGAGAGACGTCACCGCTCAAAGTCCCCAGGTATCATAGCAATGGCTACCATGCCATCCTGCAACGCACAAGATAAAAAATTCACACCAGTGTTTATATTTGTGATGTGTGACATATTTTCTGCTGTAATCATTAGACTTTAAGATGTTTGTAACAATAGTTTCCCCTGCCCAGTCTGACCTAGAGCTGTCTCTATTTTGTCCCAGGGCATCACAGAAGCCACAGGCATCGCAGTCACTCCAAATCCCCAGAGAGGTGAGTGATTGAAGAAGAGAAAGACCCTCACCCCACTATACTAGGATCTACAATATTTAAAAAGCTGCTCTCTGTGTTCATGGTGTAGTTGAACTGTCTGTGAATAACAGCATTTGAGAGAGGGAGACATTTAGTGAGTATATCACCAGCTTTTGTTTTTCTTCTATTCAAGGAGTTCAAAAAAGAGCCACAAGAAGAGTCGAAGAGGAAACGTGTGATCCGCTTTGTATTTTGTGCTCTTGGATAGTTCCTTTTTCTGACTTGAACATTGTGACCAAATTTGTACATCTGTGTATGGAATCCCTTGTAATTTGTATTTTGTTTTGGAAATGATTGCATTTTAATATATTTTCAGACCATGTTGCAGAACGAAGCAATCTCAATTGTATTTCTCAAATCTGCAGCTCATATGGAACTGTCCACAACCCTATGCATCAGTGAATAAAGTTGCTTGGTGGTTTGAACGTAGACTAAGAATGTCATGTTTGCACAGTCTTTTTTTTGTTTGAATTTTCTGGCCAAGCAGGTTAGGGACCATAGTAATAATGGTTGTTAATCCCAATTGTATTTGTTTTACCAAGACGATTATTGAGAGCTGTTGTCGAAACAATTGTTAATGTGATGCGTCTCATCATTACAGAATAAGTGTGGAAATAGTTGTATTTTATTATGGATGTCTGTCATCAATGCATATGATGTCCTCATCTGAATGTGTGACTGGTTTGAGTTCCACCCTGAAAGTGTTAGCCACAATTATACAAATAAAACAGTGGTGGTAAAAGTAAAGATACCTTCATAGAAAATGACTCAAGTGAAAGTCACCCAGTAAAATACTACTTGGGTAAAAGTATTTGGTTTTAAATATACTTAAGTATCAAAAGTAAAAGGGAAAAACCTTTTCAAATTCCTTATATTAAGCAAACCAGATGGCACCATTTTTATTGACGGATAGGCAGGGGCACACTCCAACACTCAGACATAATTTACAAACGAAGCATTTGTGTTTAGTGTTTAGTGAGTACGCCAGATCAGAGGCAGTAGGGATGACCAGGGATGTTCTCTTGATAAGTGTGTGAATTTGACCATTTTCCTGTCAATGTAACGAGTACTTTATCTTTAGGAATGTAGTGAAGTAGAAGTTGGCAAGAATATAAATAGTAAAGTACAGATACCCCCAAAAACTACTTAAGTAGTATTTTAAAGTATTTTTACTTAAGTACTTTACACCACTCTAAAAAAATAACTACTTTTGCCCCCGTTCCCCAGGAGAACAGTGTTGCGGTCATGAGGAATTATTTACCGTCTTCAATGAATACAATTCAATCAATCACATTTTATTTGCCTAGTGCTTTTAACAAAAAATATTTGTCATGAATTGCTTGACAGTAACCTGGCATAAAAAAGACCAAAGATAATCAACAAGACATACATTATGTCACCTTCAATTTGGTTAACCTCTGGTTAATTTTACTCCTTGCTCATTCTTATGCTAGAATAAATGTTTGCAAGAAATTCCTGAATTTCTGCGCATCTTCAATTTCTTCCCCCTTCTCTGATCTTCCTCAACATTTTTATACTCTTTCTACCATATTTGTTAGGATTTGGTATTTCTGCCGCCTTCCTGTGATAACCAACTGATCCATTGTAATCCTTAATGGAGGAATACAGGTATGTAGCGTATTGGTTGTAGAGTAACTGTAACTTGGATGGCTCCTGTACGCTGGCGAGTAATTCCACATAGATCTGAATGGCTATTTCCCTCCTGTCAATACTTGATTTTGCGTAGATGCTAGCAAGCTCCGGTTTGACCTTAATTGACGTTTCTGGGTAGAGTGTGACCACTTCCATATAGAGACGGATGGCTCTGTTGATCATGCTCTGCCTCAGACTGTCATCCTTAGACCGTCTGCCTCCTCCTTCTGAATTGATTTTCCATTTGTAGGACTTTGCAAGCCGCTTTTTCATGTAGCGCGCATTTGGATGTCTTTCCAGAGCCTTGTGTGCAAGGTCAATAGCATCATCATGTGATAAATATTTCCTGTAAAAGCAAAGTAAGGGTCTAATACCATTATAGCAGCTAACAGGCTTCTTTAAAATTTGCTGCGCTAGCCATTGTGCTTCCTCTCTTCTCACCTGGCCACTCCTGCCAAGTCTTAACAGGTAGACACTTGCTACATTCAAGTTGTCTGGATCCTTGTTCCTTGGCAAGTCTCAACTTCTCTAGAAACTCAGACTCCTTGCTTTTAGAAAAGATAACTGAGTCTAGGGCCAAGATGTGGCTTGATTGCCACTCCTTTCTCCCAGGCTCCATCCTAATAGCCATTTGGAAGTACTCTATCACGTTCTGTCTTTTGTCCTGGCCAAAGTTCATGAGGGTCCAGGCTTTTTCAGCACATACCTCGGGGTGCAGTTTTCCCTGGGACGGTGAGGGGTAATCCCGTAGCAGTGCCTCAACCTTTGTCACAGACCCCTGGCTCTCGGCCTGGTTATCCAGGTGATAGTGCGCCCAGGCTGGGTTTCCATAGTGTCTGAAGGACTGTTTTTGTGAAAGGCCTCCTGCCTTATTACTGAGGCACTGAATGGCCGTGTCAGTGGAGCTCAGGGTGTGGTGTATGTAAGTCCACAAGTTGTACTTCTGACCCAGCCATGGATAGCGCTCGTCACTGCCAATGCCCTCCAGGGGATCTCTGAAACTGAGCAGCTTGTACAGTGGCTTGCGAAAGTATTCACCCCCCTTGGCAATTGTACTATTTTGTTGCCTTACAACCTGGAATTCAAATGGATTTTTGGGGGGGGTTGTATCATTTGATTTACACAACATGCCTACCACTTTGAAAATGCAAAATATTTTTTTGTGTGAAACAATACAAGAAATAAGACAAAAAAACTGAACTTGAGCGTGCATAACTATTCACCCCACCAAAGTCAATACTTTGTAGATTGCAGCTGCAAGTCTCTTGGGGTATGTCTCTATAAGCTTGGCACATCTAGCCACTGGGATTTTTGCCCATTCTTCAAGGCAAAACTGCTCCAGCTCCTTCAAGTTGGATGGGTTCCGCTGGTGTACAGCAATCTTTAAGTCAAACCACAGATTCTCAATTGGATTGAGGTCTGGGCTTTGACTAGGCCATTCCAAGACATTTAAATGTTTCCCCTTAAACCACTCAAGTGTTGCTTTAGCAGTATGCTTAGGGTCATTGTCCTGCTGGAAGGTGAACCTCCGTCCCAGTCTCAAATCTCTGGAAGACTGAAACAGGTTTCCCTCAAGAATTTCTGTGTATTTAGCGCCATCCATCATTCCTTCAATTCTGACCATTTTACCAGTCATTGCTGATGAAAAACATCCCCACAGCATGATGCTGCCACCACCATGCTTCACTGTGGGGATGGTGTTCTCGGGGTGATGAGAGGTGTTGGGTTTGCACCAGACATAGCGTTTTCCTTGATGGCCAAAAAGCTCAATTTTTGTCTCATCTGACCAGAGTACCTTCTTCCATATGTTTGGGGAGTCTCCCACATGCCTTTTGGCAAACACCAAATGTGTTTGCTTATTTTTTTCTTTAAGCAATGGCTTTTTTTCTGGCCACTCTTCCGTAAAGCCCAGCTCTGTGGAGTGTACGGCTTAAAGCGGTCCTATGGACAGATACTCCAATCTCCGCTCTGGAGCTTTGCAGCTTATTCAGGGTTATCTTTGGTTTCTTTGTTGCCTCTCTGATTAATAACCACTTTACAATATGTATTTTTTTTATTTTTTTTTGGGGGGGGGGGGGGGGGGGGGGGGGGGGGGGGGGGGGGGGGGGGGGGGGGTAATCCTATCCCATGCATTCCTTAAAGAGGTGGGGTTTCAAGTGTCTCAGGAAGGTGGTGAGTGACTCCGCTGTCCTGGCGTCGTGAGGTAGCTTGTTCCACCATTGGGGTGCCAGAGCAGCGAACATTTTTGACTGGGCTGAGCGGGAACTGTGCTTCCGCAGAGGTAGGGGGGCCAGCAGGCCAGAGGTGGATGAACGCAATGCCCTCGTTTGGGTGTAGGGACTGATCAGAGCCTGAAGGTACGGAGGTGCCGTTCCCCTCACAGCTCCGTAGGCAAGCACCATGGTCTTGTAGCAGATGCGAGCTTCAACTGGAAGCCAGTGGAGTGTGCGGAGGAGCGGGGTGACGTGAGAGAACTTGGGAAGGTTGAACACCAGACGGGCTGCGGCATTCTGGATGAGTTGTAGGGGTTTAATGGCACAGGCAGGGAGCCCAGCCAACAGCGAGATGCAGTAATCCAGACGGGAGATGAAAAGTGCCTGGATTAGGACCTGTGCCGCTTCCTGTGTAAGGCAGGGTCATACTCTCCGAATGTTGTAGAGCATGAACCTACAGGATCGGGTCAACGCCTTGATGTTAGTGGAGAACGACAGGGTGTTGTCCAGGGTCACGCCAAGGCTCTTCGCACTCTGGGAGGAGGACACAACGGAGTTGTCAACCGTGATGGCGAGATCATGGAACGGGCAGTCCTTCCCCGGGAGGAAGAGCCGCTCCGTCTTGCCGAGGTTCAGCTTGAGGTGGTGATCCGTCATCCACACTGATATGTCTGCCAGACACGCAGAGATGCGATTCGCCACCTGGTTATCAGAAGGGGGAAAGGAGAAGATTAGTTGTGTGTCGTCTGCGTAGCAATGATAGGAGAGGCCATGTGAGGATATGACAGAGCCAAGTGACTTGGTGTATAGCGAGAATAGGAGAGGGCCTAGAACTGAGCCCTGGGGGACACCAGTGGTGAGAGGACGTGGTGCGGAGACAGATTCTCGCCACGCCACTTGGTAGGAGCGACCGGTCAGGTAGGACGCAATCCAAGAGTGAGCCGCGCCGGAGATGCCCAGCTCGGAGAGGGTGGAGAGGAGGATCTGATGGTTCATAGTATCAAAGGCAGCAGACAGGTCTAAAAGGACAAGAGCAGAGGAGAGAGAGTTAGCTTTATCAGTGCGGAGAGCCTCCGTGACACATAGAAGAGCAGTCTCAGTTG